TACTTGCCCCAATGGAAGCCACTGGCTCAAGGCCACATCTACTTGCCCCCATGGAAGCCACTGGCTAAGGCCATATCTACTTGCCAGATGGGAGCCACTGGCTCAAGGCCATATCTACTTGCCAGATAAGAGTCACTGGCTCAAGGCCACATCTACTTGCCAGATAAGAGTCACTGGCTCAAGGCCACATCTACTTGCCAGATGGGAGCCACTGGCTCAAGGCCACATCTACTTGCTAGATGGGAGCCACTGGCTCAAGGCCACATCTACTTGCTAGATGGGAGCCACTGGCTCAAGGCCACATCTACTTGCCAGAGTCATGTGTGTTACACTTAGCCACAACCAAGTAATACAAACACAACCACAAAATGAGAGAGTAAGGCAGTCTGTAAATAACCAGACGTTCTACATGGCAAAGGTACATGTATGATACGTCATGCTTACTTGAAGCAGTTCTCATTGTAAATACTGTTCCATATCCTCCATGCTGATTGGCCTTTGTAGCCCGTATACCTCTCTGGGTTGATGGTCAGGTCAACGTACTTCATACCAAGCGACTGCTCATCTGCAAATCCCAGAGAAATATCAAAAGCTGTAATACACTCTCCAGAACACACAGATACACCATACCTGTTTTACATACAAAAAGTATGGACTATCCTTTGTTCTCCTGTGGTTAAGAAAACTTGAGAATAATGCTCCTTTTACTCTAACTAGGATAACTCCTTCGAGCTAGATTTTTGATGGTGATTCTCTGGACTGTTCCTCTTCATTTTACCACAGATAACCTTGACCCCAAATGCCTCTGAAACTGTTTTTCAGAGAGGAGGGAACATTGTGGATGTGTGCAAGTCCACACTACGCCATCGCACCCTAAATTATGTGGATGTCTTTTGTGCTGAGGTCCACACTATGTATGGCACGCCTGCACTGCTAAGCCTGACACAAACTGATCCAAATCACAAGCAGTTTATTAATGTTCTGTGTGACTTTCAGTTTTTGTCAAGTTCTTTCCCTGAATTCCTCAAAAGGCTTGTCTATTTCTGGTGCATCAGTAATCACACTAAGTACAAAGGCTGCAATGGTAGGTAATTTTAATGGGTACGAATTTGGAGATACCTCTTGACACGGGCCATGTGCACCATGTATAAATATCTGTCGAAGGAGCTATGCATGATATGAGGCAAAGGGGACCCCCCCTCTATTGTATCTTCTTTTGTGTTGGTGGAATCTTTGGAATTCCTTTCAGATTTCGGAGGGGGGGTGCAGTAGGCACAATAGCCTTGGGGTATAAAGCTTGTGCATCACATTGGGGGCCCCCTTCACCGCATATTGTGTTGGGTATGTCAAGTCCCAGTTGTTTTGGAACTACTTAAACTTACTGTACAGCACTCCTGTTTCGAACATTTAGATTCTCACATATTATCAAAAGCCTGCTTATTTATTTTTGAAGCTGCAACAGCATTTTTGTACTCAAAAAAGCTGGACCGATTGGTCTAGTTGTACTTGATAACTTTTGCAAGATGCTGACTTCCATGAGTCGTTCTTTTTTTCCCTCTGACAATAAGATCCCAGGATACCTTTTCCCCTAAATTTTCAATGACTTTCCGGGAAAATGACTTTCCTGGACAGGACCATGGGAACCCGATTAATCCACATAAGAGGCTCAGTCAGAAATGACTGTTCAGTATAAATCTTGAGTTAAACTTTTCATAAATTTTTCATCAACAGTAAGAAAAATTGACCAGTTACAGTTGCTTTTTATGGCACTGCTTGCCGTTAAGCAAATTTTTTTGCTAACCATAGAACAGAAGTTTGCTTAATGGTAAGCTTATTTCATGGCTAACATTTCACGGCTGCAGCGCTTTGCACAAAAAATGGATGGGCACACGTAGAGATTTCCAGTTATGCCAGTGAGTTAAGCAAAGCTTTCCTTATTAGTTAGTGCCATCGCCAGCGACAAAGATTTCACTTTTTAAAGATTATGCAACCTTAAGAATGTCGCTTGACCCAGCGTTGAATACTTTTGTTTAGCCAATAACGACTTAGGGGAATAATTTTTGTGTGTCACATGGCACAGTCTTGGGGTTGCTTCATATACCTAGGTGACGCACCCAACAAATTGAATTGCCACGGTGCTGTCACATCATGTCGCTACACTACTAGCTGTGTACCAGGTTGTTTGCGGCCAAACTTTCCCGTCTCTGTGAGTCTTCGACTTGTATTGCTTTAGTTATTTTAGTTACATGTATATGCCAGTGTATCCTAAGTTCAGTTTATTCTAAGATAATTTATTATACCGTCATCATGAAATACACGGAGCATCTGTTTGCATGAAATCGTGTGCTTAGCAATACCGTGAAATTGGGCCCTGGGCAGACAAAAGCACTCTGGAGATTCCAGGAGCATCTAACCACTTCTTCTCACCAACCAGTGGCTGTATCACTCACCATCAACTTCACAGAAGTCTACTGCCATATCGTCGTGCTCAGTCCACGTCTTGAAGGCTGCCTCACTCTCTTCGCTGATGGTGGTGTCCAGGGCACTCAGACGGATTTCCTCGTCACTCCGTGAGTCACATGACCCATCGGCATCCCCACCTGCTTTGGACTCCTTCAAGTACTGCACAGGGATGTTTTAAGATACCAAATAAATGAGCATTAAAGGAAAAAACTAACCTAAAAACAAATTGGAGTCTTGATTTAAATGCAGTTTACATCCTGGTCAATCAATTCCGTGTAAGACATCATCCCAGAAAAAACCTCACACAGCAAAAGCTAATGAATCAGATATACAGGTAAAGAAATTTAACCTTTATTTATTATCTAGATATTTGTGTACAAGAGCACAGGGCTTAAAATTAGCTTCTAAAAGATGCTGCCATCTTCATGATTTTTTCTCTGTTATTTTCTATATGCCGCATGCATACATACAATCCATAAAGTTAGTTGACAGATGAGAATAAAACTTCTGTATACTGCACCAATAAAACAACAAGACTTGGTCAACTTAATTAAAACGTGCAGTATTGAGAGACGGTACTGAACGAACATGGGACATGCAGACTGTTAACTATACTGCCAGCGAGCCCAGTTTCAGGCACATAGGCTTTATACATGAAACCGTGGAGCCCGAAACCGAACAAAAGAGCTGGGCCTTTAACAAAAGACTGCACTCGGATCAAAAGACCTGCTGCTGGGAAATGCCATCATTTTTCAGCTTGCATTTATCGGAGGTAACCCGTCACTGTTTTGAAACAGTATACCAGTACTTTTGTCTGCGGATTAGCACCCCAGACAAAAGTGCTCCAGCTCCCCATCGATGAGCAATACAGTACCGCTACACGCTAATCCAACCACATTTGAAATGACGCCACTGGCATTCACTGGGAACTAAGGAAATTGCGTAACACCTCACGATTTACAGGGCGGCAGACCAGGCTGAAATACTCAGGCGTCAATTGAGGTAGCATGTCAGATTAGAGTGGACACCAGACAGTCATTCGTGTGGGTATAAATGTCCATTAAATGAAATTATGAATTTTTAAAGAATTTTTAATACAGAAAATCTTGAAAATCACCCGTATGTAGGCACTGCATTTTTAAAAGCATCCGGCAGGAAGTGGTTAATGCCGGTAGGTAGAGTGCGTGACATCTCCTACGAGAAGTGGCACTGCGGTATCCATGGCAACAATAACAGATTACAGTGACAGTGCATCAGATCTGAAGATCTAATATGAAGGTTCCAAAGTCCTCTCCCAAATAAAAATAGACAAGAATTAGGCCAAAGTCCATTTTTTTAATTTCATTAAATTTTTTAATCCAACATTTTGCTCCAGTTGTTTCCTTCTTTTCAAAAAACCACCTCAGCAAAGCACAGTACCTTTTCTTTTCCGTGAGGTATTCCTGGTTCATCTTTTAGTCCACAAGGCACTTGCTCCTGTCCAAATAAACAAGACAACAACTTGTATTCACAATATTAACAGTGTAAGCCTCTTAACCAGCATTTAAACCACACAAGGGCCATTCTGTAAATAAAGGGTCTAAAGAAGGATACAGAGGCCAAAGTATGAAAACTGTTTTTCTGCCCTGTAGTAAAGCTTATTTACCATCCCAAAATATGTGAGGTTTACACAAGACAGAGATGAGAATGAAGAAAAATGTAAATTGAGAATAATCAATACTAAATTTGTTTAACACTAAATGTATATGCATTTCAGAGCACAATAAAAATAATATTTACATATTTCTATCCCATTTTCTTTCTAAAATTGATGGGTCTTCAACCATATGCATGTTGTCTTTCAAGCAAATGTCTAAGAAAAAAAGCGCTTTCTTCTAAATGATGTACATGTAACCATGTTTCAATAACTCATGATGAAAATCTAAACTCTGTGGCCTTGCAGTTTACCAATCAACCTGTTCAATGTGTAAGGTGCCATTGCAGGTGTTTATCACTGGACCCCCTCAAAAAGTAGGGCCTAGAAGCACTGGAAATCTTCTTGAGGAAGTGAAATAATACAAAAAGCACACAATTGGGCTCAGGTAAAGTGCTAAAAGTGCCAGCACATTGCCAACCTCACTGATAAGTGATAACTTCAACCAGCAACCACCCATACATTTTATTTATCAATTCATTGATTTTTTTTCCCCCATTAGATATAATTTCACTAGCGAGTATAACTAACCATTATCTGCACATGTGCTGATACCACTGGGTGATTTAACAGAAGGTTCGATTCTCACCATGAGAAAAATCAATACTTGCAATTCTGACCCTGTATACATTTTAGCTTTCTAATGGCCGTCTCACAGACAGGTTGTACAAAAAAGATAGCAACAACTTTTACATGAGTATGCGCCGGCATTACATGTACACATTGAACAACATGTGAATGTCTGCATGCACTTTATATTGCATGGCTAGAGCAGGGGTCTTACATGTATAACCTGTAGTATGCATTCCGTGAGAATTAACATGTGTAACACCTAATGTACAGAGTACATACATGTAGCTCAGCCTATGGGTATCACTGTGCCATTATGGTAGCCTTGCTGTTTAATAATCAAACAAAATTTCCTGAATGCTGCGACATTTTGTTAAGTGGTACATGTACATGTATGCACATGCACTATGTTCACAATTTCAATTTTCAAAGAGTGCACTATGTAAAACAGGTTTTCATGCAAACCATTTCAATTCTATCATAAAGGTGAACAGAGTGGGCACATTTCTCAAGTACAGTGTACCTGTACGTACTTTCCTACCTCCTCACACTGTAGTTACATGGAACACATTTTAATGCTCAAAATATACCCTCTGACAAGATTGAGTCCCAAAGATTGTAACTTTGACTGCACGGTTTCTTAAGGCTTGCAAGCTGAAGTGCCAAGGGCACTTTTGAGCAGCGGCGTAGCGAAGGCATTTTCTTTGGGGGGGGGTGTGCCAGGGTCAATTTGCCCACTGGTTGATGTACGGTACATGTACGTCAATAATTCATGATGTCAATTTCAGTTTCATTTGCAGACTGACCCTTTATTTGCCAACTGAAAAGAATTATTGGGGGAGGGGTGCAACATCCCCCGCACCCCTCCCCACTCGCTACGCCGCTGCTTTTCAGGGATCCTTGGTTTCATTACCAGAAATCTTTATGTCATTAAATTAATTGAAACAGTTGACTGTCCATACATGTACATGCACTGCAGCAAACTCTCTAGCAGGACTACATGTACATGTACAGTACCGGTAGGCCTACCATGTACATGTACCAGTAAGTACTGGTATGGCACAAGTACATTTTGTGAAAAATAGCCAAATCTTGTCTTAAATCACAAGAAGCCCCTTCCAATTAAATCTACATAAGGATGCCACACAAACAACTTGAAAAACAATCACTGAAGTTACATGTAGCGCTACTACAGTCTTAAGGGCATATTACGGTCATATTTGAATCATTTCCAGAACAATGAAACCCAATGAAAGAGTCTGCATTTACGTGCGTGTACATGTACCTGCCCACACATTTTAAAGACACCGTATCACAGCCTCGCTGTTCAACAGCACAGAATTGCAGCCGGTTCTCCATGCATGTGCACATGTACCGGTACGTGACCACTTGATAATGTCAGGGACGGTAGAATTTAACTGGCAGGTTTTTAATCAACTTCCAAGCGGACGATTCACAATGCAGTGCCACTCTTCTGCCGTTATTAAACGGTGATGGTGTGTGACCGCTCATCTCATAAGGCTCACTGCATGTTTATTACAAAATCTGTCTGTTTGAACACTTACATGTACATGTCTATATTTTTGTTGTACCATTCACATCATTAGATGTACCTTATGTTCTGTGTTTCATCATCTTCCTTAACGTCAGTGAACTTCTTTTCTATTTTTTTTCTCAACCAGCTCTAAGCAAACCTTGTGAATTCATAATTGTGGAATTTTCAAGGAAAAGAAAGACGAGACTTTGGCGTAACCCGTGCCTGTCCCATACATCCTATGCACAAAAACACTATAAACAACCATAGAAAAGAAAAAATTGGGCTTTTTTGCCTAATGCTCATGATCAAAGTTAAGATTTAAAAATTGTTACAACTAAATTTTTATTTCGTGCATATTTGGTTCAGTATTTCACGTAACACATACCGGTAGATGTACGCTTTATACCGGCAATGGTATTTTAAATTATCGTCCTCAAAATAACCATCATCATTAATTTTACTGGTAAGACACATTTCTCTTGATAAGCCGACATGTGCATGTACACACATACACACACAAGCATGGTAATTCAGAAAACCAAGAAAAATACTAACATCTTAATAATAATAACGCTGAAAAGTGACAATGGACTTCACATGTGTACCATGTGAAGTTACATGTGCTAATGAGGGAACGGAATAAGGGATAATAAATTACTGTACATGTACAACAAAGTATCCACTCATGTGACCTCTTCCCACAGAATGAGTCTTCAGGCTTGTTATTTCAGTTATTCAGCTTCAGTTTGCATTGGAAAGAGCAAACAGAGCCCTCTACATATAGATGCAATTCACTCACTTAGACATTAATGAAGTGGATGAGAAATAAGGAGAGTTCTCACTTCTTTACGTCATGCAACAATTTTTTTTAAGGGCATTTAAGTTAACTTTAATATTGTGGCTCTGTCTGCTTCAGACTCATTCTGTTAGGGTTAAGTCACTTGTTACAAGCTTACATCTGTGCACGGGCAGACAGCACAACTCTCCAAAGCACAGGTGCCATCGTCAGGCCAAAAGGGACATTTCTTGTCAAGGTTCACCTGAAAAAAATGGTATCAATAAGAGAGAGAGAGAGGATCTACATGTGAGTTTAAGTTTAAAAAAGAAAGACTATGTTTTGCAGGAGAGGAAAGCTTCTAATTAATCCCCTTTCAACCAAAGATATGAGAAATAATTACTTTGCCAAGATTGGCTAGGATCAAAGGAACTTTAAATCATGGAATGGTTTGCAACTTTGCAAATGTAGAGTATGCCTTGTGTGTACACAATCTTTTGTTGTTAAGACAATGGCATACATGTGCACATACAGTACACAATGGAGTTTTTGTACACACACATGTACATGAACAGGTACACGTATGTAACCTTTTTAGCACAATCACAGCAAGTCCAGAACAAGGAAACAATGTGGGCTAATGCACTGTATTAACCCTCGTTTTCCTGTAACAGCCCCAGACAGGCAAAATTTCCGTCCACTTGATTTGCCACAGTACACAGACACATACATTGTACATGTAGGGGTCATTTGAGTGGTTGTGACTGAAACAGCAGGATAACTTCATCAGGAACACATCTTTGCACATTAATGCATGTATTTCCGATTAAACCATGAGAGCTGACATGTTCCTGCTTGGCTTTCACCATATGTCTCCTTTTGTGGCTTGATTCCTCAATGAATGCATGAACAATTGAAAAGCACAGCAGAGTGTCAATGTCTGATTGTAGACAAAGCATGTAAATTATGCTTTATTTGTTTATAAATGCTCCAAAATATTTTTGCACATGTATCTCTGTTTTCTGGGCAACGCATCACACATTATCATACCAGTATTGATTAATAGTCCGTGGAAAAAAACAATTCAAAACACATTGCTCAATATTCTATTGAAGACGTACACTGTATGGGCAGATTGGGCATGGTCTTGCATTATTAATTCTCTGGGGAGATTTTATCCAAATAAAGACATTCAGTCTGTGCATTACTTGGCAAAGAGTACAACACTTCTATTGAAGATGTACATGTACTACCGGTATGTACATGTACACGTACATGGCAACATACTGCAAAGTCCCAGAAAAAAATTCCTTTCAAAGACAAAAAAGAAGAAAACTCTCTTGAAAGAAAAAAGAGAGGTTCCACATCAATATAATCAAGTGAAACAAGCTGTACCAAGCCTCTAATTCCCTGTTTTGCACTGTGGAAGTCTGAAGTGATGCATGACTTTCAAATGCCATCTGTCACAGCATTTTTCGTGACAGTTCGGTAGTTTTGCAGCCACTTTCGACAGACATCTAATGTACAGCACACAAATGCAGTACCAAGACCAGCGGGTTACAGTCACAATCACAGCTTTTCCCTGATGGTTTTAATTTTTACCACGCGTTAAGTTGTTTTTCATGTGTATCAGTGGGGGAGCTATTTTCGTGTCAAAAAATCAAGGTCCAGTTTAATGTCAAAGTAGACTGGTAGAGTTTGTTCCATCCATCTTTTGACGTCACAGGTTGTATTTTTTCCTACAAGTGGTTGCTAAAACTTTAGCTGGCCATTGGTAAAAAGGAAAACAATAATTCGTGTTCAAAATCCCACGCAGCTATCAGAACATCATATAATAATACATGGATACATACTACTCAATGCAAATTCAACCCTATTTTTAAATTAACGGGACAGATGTCCATCCTGAACGAATTTGAGGAAAAATCGAAAACCACCCAAAAGGTGATATTTCTCCAAGTTTTGCTGCCCATACAAGTTGTAGGCAAAATGAGAGTGGTCAAACAAACATGGAATGCACTGCTGTTTCGCTCCACCTACATCTACAGCCTGCATGCCGATTCACAGGTGTATAAAACTGTTTACGGGCCTTCAAGTATTTGCAGAAATTTTCAACCGGGGGGGGGGAACAATGCTAACGTGACTGGCCCCCTTCACTGTGTATTTTTGTCATAAGTTAACTTTTCCCTCTTCTGAACACCAAAACATGTACAAGAACAGAGGCTTATCAAGTACACCCAAAAAAAGAAGAGCACATTTTCATCCATATGTCAGCAAGACCAGACTTACACGTACATGAATATGACAAGCGTTGTTAATCCGTCTTTGAACAGACAGAATTGAATGAGCATGAGATTGACTGACTCATCGAATGTCAGTGATAAAGCAGTACAGTGTGCCTGCATACACGTACAGGTATAAACCCCTCTCAAATGACTTTGTGAGCCACAGGTGATACATGTGTACTTTTTCTCCACTGTAATTGTACACATCAGGCGCATGTACCGTAAGCCCTTCTGTAGGTGCATGTAGAGTGGGGGCAAGTCTTGACAAACAATCAATGAGCACCCAAGAAGCCTCAGTGAGATTTGGCAGAAGCGATACACCATGCTACTGTTCGGAAAAACTCTTAAAGGGTCCGTAATGCTGTTCAATACAGCAACTGGCAGACTGTGTCCACCATTACTGGGGGCCTTCCCGATGTTGCAGTGATCATACATCGAGATTCGTCCAGCCTACTGGTAGTACCCAGGGGTCAAAATGTCGCAAGTTACCGTACCTTGAAAAACTTGAAGTAGTTTCTGGTCAGGAGGTTCTGTAGCCTATCATAGACTTTGAGATTATTGAAGGAGGCGACAGATTCCACCTTACAGTTGCAATCATCCACCTGGCCGTTAAGCTGAGGAGACAACGATACAAACAAAAAGTAAAGCTGATTTGTTACAATTCAAAATTGCTATCTTGCTGTCATACCATGAACATTTCAAGGTTCAAACCTGGGGCTGGATGAGTTGTCAGAGTACTGGTACAACATAATACAGGGAACCAACGGCAGAATATTTATGAAATTGCCTCACATGAATGCTTTCCTTCTGAGCAGAAGACTGCAACAAATTTCATGGTGAAAACAGGTGTTTTTGACAACTGGCTTCAAATAAATACTTACCAGCCAATCAAATTCTGCCAGGTAGCACTGTAAAGTGTAAACCTGGTACCAATGTTGAACTGTTCATGTAATAGAAACACTGTGCATGTACACTGTAAATGGGCAAATCTATGTACAGCAAATAGGGCTAACTCAATAAGCCTTTTGTGAGTTAACTTTGAATAAAATCTGGTACACTGACTTCATTAAATTCACGTGAACATAACAATTTGAATTCTCCATACCAAAAACACTGTTGCTATAACTCATGATTTGGGGCAAGCTTTTGCTTGGTTACAAAAGGGACACCTTGCAACAATACACTGTTCTAAATGGATAAGACGGGCACAAAGGAACCAGTCCATTCCAGAGATGGTGGTCGATATGCAAATGCTTACCTCGAATCACGTGGTATAGCAACAGTGTCTTTAGTCTGGGGAATTCAAATAGTTATGTTTGTATGCAATAAGATAACTCGGGATACCGATTTTATTCAAAATTAGCTTACAAATAGCTTATTTGATTATAATTTACCATTTGAATATTTGACCTTGAATTTGAATATCCATATGTGGTCATACCAACCAACAGACTTACTGAACACACACATTTTGTACATTATAAACATTTTAAAAGCTTCTCAAGTCGAGGAGTATCACCAGCCACGATTTAGCAAAATTTCATAGACAATCAATACTTGCCCTGTTGAAAATTTCTATTCCTTTTAAATTTTTTAATGAATAATTTACTTTTTGAATCACTGCAAGATTTCTGTCTTTCATCTGAATCTGCTTGAAACAAGCCTCCATAGTGCAACTTTTCTTGTTTAAAATACAAGAACATTCTCTCTTCCTTTTCATGGATTTTGCATTCAAATATTCAAATTCAGAAAATAATATCTGAATATTTGATATTCGATCATACATTCAGCACAGCCCCAAAACCAAAGAAAAGAAGACCCCACAAAGTCAGGTGCTACAGCAAACTAAATTTTCTGCAAGTAGAAACAAATTGATAAAAGTTATGGAGCATCATTTTGAGAGTAAAAACCTATATTTAATTAAGTTTGTTTAAAAGAAAAATAAACAGAGTGTTCTTTACTAACTGAATTATTTTCACTTTATACACCTTTCTCTGAATCAGAGAATACATGTAAGTTTAGCCGTACAGATAACAAACCTTTTGCTGTTCTTCATCCTGGTTGGCTGAAACAGGGTCATGTGGGTTTGTGAACTACACGCACGGGTAAAGACAACCCATGCCTAATTTACAGGATAGAGCAGGTCCTACACTAAAAACTCTACGCAGGTTACAATATCCTCCGGAGGTTGCAGATGATAGAACCTTAAAAAGGTTTTTCCCATTTTTATATTTTGGATGGAGGTGTGTTATGAAAGACATATTTCAAACAGCAATACACGTAATTTGATCACTAACTGCACACCCTTTCCATCAGGGGCCTGTGAGTGACGAGACGAGGGACTGATTTCCCTCGGCTGGCATTTTTTTTGGGGACTATGTGACCATGCATTTTTTTTAAATCTGAGCTTTTAGTCACCACCATCCCCTAACCTGATGCCCTTCAAATTTTTTCCCCTTGGAGCAATATTTTTCACTCAAATTTCACAACAGGTGATATTTAATCAAACTTCCAATATTAGGATTCACAAATCTCAAGTTTACAGTCCCACTACAATAATCTTTTTTTTTTCAAGTGCAGAACAAACATTTTTAAAATGTGCCCCAAAATACGAAACTAAGCTTCTTACAAACTTGTGTGTGGGCGAAAGAAATAATCCTTCCCTATTAACTGTTGGGGCTCGGATAACTAGACCGCTGGCTAACTTGACTCAGGACAACTCGACCGTTGAGACAACCATTTTTGGAGGCGGGGTTGGCATCTTGTTTTTATTGCGCAACCATCTTTACTGTGCTGCGTACATGTAGCTGTGACAGATTACAAGATCTTAGAAATCTCCCCCCCCCGAACCAAAAATGGTCAAACTAAAATGCGGAGCAAGCTTGACGGTTTAAAACTCCTGTATGACCATTTTCAAGAGGTACATCACACTGGAAAATTTGATTGAAAAAAAGGAGTTTGTCTTACTGGATCATCACCGCAAAAGCTAGATTAAAAAAAACAAACAGGCCTAACATCACAACCCCAGGAAAAACAGCTCCTCTAAGTCACACAAAGTAGTGACTCAGAGTTCTCTAAGTAGAACACATTAATCTTCCAATCTGTGTTAACTGCCCCACAATCTGTCATGTTCCTGCCTTGCATGGTCTAGTAGTGTGCTGTCTTGACAGACGACTTGGTTACTGTCGACATAGTCAAGTTTCCAACCGGTTGAGTTGTCTCAACAACTGAGTTGTCCCAAGTGGAGCTGGTAAATCATGTAAACAGTTGAACTGTCCAACATCTGCTACGTTAGTGGGCTCTACCACGGGAGGAATTTCAAGATGGCCACAGCAGCCATTGCCGTCGAGGCCCTTTTAATGGCTGCGACGCCTCTTGGAAAATAGCAGTTTCCGCGGCCAGCTTTGCAGTGCCCTTTAAGGACATTGGCTGCAGTGCCCTGTAAGGACATTGGCTGCAGTGCCCTTTTCATGAAAAACAGGAATTTAAAGCTTATTTTTGTCCCTCTATGTTCTCCACAGTGCTCTTTGCTCATGACCAACAGCCAGTGTAAAAATCTTGCAGCCCGTGTGTACTTTTGCCCCAGTCGCGACAGCAACCACATGATTCCAAAACATGCAATGCAGCACGCATACATGTACATACGATGACTTTACTGATTGTACATGTATATGGTCATTCGCATGCATTGTGCATGTATGTGAAGACAGAAACCAAGTAGGGTGCACAAAATTACTAGCCTTTATTCAAGGCGTACAATGCACATATCGGCTGCTAGCACACACGACGAAGACCACCACTGTGATTAGCACTCGCACTGGTTACCAACCGGCCGAGCATCCATGGTGCACCGGTGTAATGCACGCCTTGGCAATATAAGAGACACAAGAACTTGCTTCAATTGTGCCAACTCTCTCATTGGAAATCTGTTGTACGTCGTAATCCAGAGGGAGTAACACAGGCTACCAGAACAGTATCTGGCTCAACGAGCAGGTGTGACTTGTACATTGCTTTCTTCATCATGACCTGGATTTTTCATTTGTCAGTAATGCATGACCGTCGGTCCACAGAGCACTATGAGTCGGTCAGCAATGCCCTACAAGGATTCTTAAAATGATCCAGGAAACTGGAAGACGTAATTTTACGGGTAAATTTCATGTAATCACAAATAAAAGTGAATGGCTCTTAATTTGACTTTATTCACACAGCGTAGCCAAACCTCTTTCTTGAAAAACTTAAAACTCATTTTGTTACAAACTGGTACTATTACCTTTATGATACCGGTACATGGCACTGAACATTTGTGAACAATGTCAGTGTTGAGAAACTTCGTTCGATATCCAAAACTGTCAGCATCTGCAAAGTGGGCTCCAATTCAGCTGAGAGTTCCCTAACCTATATGTACGTGGCACACTTGAAAAATACTCAGAAAATCCCACCTAAACATTTGCAAATCCTTTTAAGTTAATGAATTCTTGTAAAGCATCATTGCTGCCACTCGAATACCTATCCACAAGTTTCTCAGAAAATTCTGTTCATAATTTTGGGCATATACACTTTGTACATCGGAAAAAATCGGAAAATCAGGTGAAAATACAATTTCATCCCAACTTTGCAGCAGGTATGTAAAATCGAGATTTATGGATCAGAATATTACCAGTAGAAGCATGATGAAGTTTCAGTAATTGTGAAATGTGAGTTTAAACTAAGTATTACTCTGTTAGGCCTACGACAAGGGAAGCGAAAAATGAAAGTGCAACACGTTATAGGGCCGCGCCATTATAGGGTACACAAACAAGACTTTTTCATAGGCCTAGTGGCGCATTTTGTTCACTAGCAATCATGCCCTTTTTCATACTTATCCTATTGGCCTTAGGGCATTCATTACCATTAGCAACCTGTTCCTATAATATGGAAAACTAAGTCCATTTTTTCAAACTAACATTCAGACCTTGAGGATCCGTTCCTAAATCCTAGTAGCTCTAGTTTAGGTCAAATTTGACAATATTTAAACAAGAAAACCAGAACTTTTTACCCGAGTTCGGCAAAAGACGACCGCATCACACCATTTTGTTTCACGTCTTGTTACCCAACCAAGCCATTGTGGATATACTGAATTTCATAAAAGAAACTTTTATGGTTCCAGGTCAAGGAACCAGACTACTTGCGCTGATTCGTCTTCATTCATAGCTCTGTCATACCATTTATATTTACCCCATAATATCCCTTAAAAACCAAAGCCCTTCCATCTTTTCTTTCTGATATGAAAGAGGACATCACTGCAAACTTATTTAGGTGAGTTGCTTCCAAAAGGTAGACTTTGTCTCCTTATTGTAGGAGCAGGGTGCTAATGGTAATGAACGTACGCCTTAGTGCCCCCATCCCTGTCTGTAGTGCCCCAAAAACAAATGGGTTCCAAGGCCAAAGTGGCCTCGCCCTAGCCCCACTAGTGTGGCACGGACTCTCACTCCCGATCCATCCTTAGCAATAAATCCGTATACGCAATTTATCAATTATCATCATGGGCGCAATTTCTTTTGCACACGAACATGATCCTTGACCTTTCCGCTTTCTAAAAACCATTTATTGAATGATTTCACTCACGTTATTCAGGTATTTTCCAGTCTTTTTGACTTTATCCATTCAATCTAATGGGCTCGCTCTCACAGTCGCCATCTCTAAAATAAGGTCGTTGAACATTACGTCACTTGATCCCTCATCGTTTCGACAGTTCTTCCATGTCAAGACGTCTAAACTGCTGCCAAGTTTTGGAAGAGCCCATTGGTGCATGTAGTATCTTATCGCTTAGTCCGTATATTACATATGTCTTGACATGGAATAGGCGTCGAGAAATGTTCAATAGGCCGACACGAAATTGCATATACGGATGTGTGGCTAAGGATGGATCAGGACTGGAGTAAGAGTCCATGCCACACTTAGTGGGGCTAGCCTCCCCTAAAATGATGAAATTCCCTCTCTGCTCTACTATACTACCAACTACTTCAAGTAGGCTTTCGCACAATACAGTAATTTACAAGCACTGACAAGCATGACCAGTGTTAAAATAAACAAGTGACCTACATGTACATGTACATAGCCTACCTACCCACCTCACAAAAACATGGGTGTAACGCCCCACTTTTGTTGTGTTTCTGAGCGTCAAGCAGAACTGTAAACAGTAAACACAAGAAGCTCAAACTCAGCAGTATGAACTTCATCACATACACGATGTTGCTCTCTCCCATCTTGACCGACCAGTGACAAAAATATTCATGTTTATATCATTTCTCCCTCACGTGCATAGAAAGTCGTGCGGTACGTGACTTTAAATGTCATCCGGTTGGTTATTTTTAAGCCAGTTAGTGTGGTGCCTGTCGAGACACATTCAATTTATGACAAGTTGTCGTCAGGATACAAGATAAAAATTGACAATGCCGGCAACGAAAAGTCGAGAGGTGGCGCCCTAACGAGTTGAAGGGACAAAAAAAAAAGATAAATCATTCCGGGAAAAGACACGTCGCATTAACCTGGCGCTGCCCGTTAGGGGGGCGGGGATGGGCTCAAACGATTGGAAGCGTTCAAAAAAAAAACTTGCCCCAAGACGGACTCAAAAACCCGAATCGATACAGTTTGAATAGAGGACACGTCCAAGAGAAGTTTGGGAAAAAGCTTGGTATTGGTGCCATGGTAATAATTTAAAGCTAGACACATTTAGTGGTGGTGGTGGTGGGGGGGTCACGATTCATTTGCTGTCTGTGCCCCTTGAAAAATGCCTGCCCCCAAACGCCCTGAACGTCTCTACAATCTACAACGAATACACCAAACAAGCTGTACGGCCTAAATTAACCCCTTGTTTGATCTACAGAGGGTTTTTTGAGGGGGAGGGGAGTCACAGGGAAGGGGTGGAACCTAAACCCACATCCATACTATCATGAGTACTCCAGCAAAGATACATCAAGACGACACCTTCATTCCCTCTATGAAGTTCATTCTTCATTTATTTCCAAAGTGGCAATGTTCTTTAAAGCCCCACAATACAAGACAATTTTACATTTACATTGTGAGGTTTCGTACACTTTTTATTTTTTTCTTTTCATCTGCCAAACAGGCGCTGGTTGAAGGCTAACAATTTTTATTACAATTATTTATTAATGTACTAAAAGCAAAACTACAGCAGTGTAATAATTATAATATAAACCTTTCTGCATTACATGACAAACCAGTCTCTCTCTCTGGTCTGTGATCAGTAAACCGCTACATAAATGAAACAATCTGATGGACTTTGGATAGTGTAGTGTGGGACTACTTCTACAACAACATGTACCAAACGGTTTGTGTGAGCAAAAACAAAACCATGATTCCAAGTTATGCACAAGGCAGGGAAATTACACAGGACACAAGTTCTCATATTGAAACTCCACTTTAGAAATATTTAGAATTGGCAGGGACAAACACTCAGAGGAAACTGGACAAAGCCGAAGGATCCACTTTCGATTGGATTCAAAAAAATTGAACACAATCCTAAAAGTAGCAAATACATGTGCTTTGCAAGCACTATGACTTGTTACATTATTCTGAGCTTGATCGAAACGAAACAGTTGAAAAGCTATGCCAAATTGATTAGCAAAGCTTAATTTTGGCTTATTCTTTTGTATCTGACCAGTAAATCCGTTACAAGTGTACAAAGGTTTGATGCGAGACACACAGTGAGGGCTCTTTTGCAAATGTCAGCCTACAGCACTGTTAGACTGGGTTCAACAATGATTGTTCAGCGACGACACTTGAATACAGTTTGCTTAAAAATGACTCAAGTACACACAATAACACACGTAGGGAATCTACGATGCCAATTTTGTAGATTTGTTTTCGATTTTCATTCAAAAGCAGGGAACTGTCATCACCATATGCACTATGCATTACTTCATATGCTGTACCAAAGGTCCCAACGTTATTTGGACGAAAGAAGAGGGCTTGATTATGACAGATGGGTAATTTACAAGTACATGTATACATGTGCAACCATGCATGGGAACAATAAACGAGGGTATACAATGTGGGGCGGAGTTAGACAGCCCCATTCAAAAGACGAATCGTTTATACCACAAAATGGAACGTACCATTCCAAACAACTCACCAGGTGGTTCAGCTTATGCTGCAACCTGGTACAAGAATATGGCCTCAAGTTACAACACTACACCTACAATACAAAATTTTCAAAGTGCGTTTCTGTTATTTACATCCTTCTTTGTTGAGACTTCCACTAGGAGGTCAGCGTGCTCCTGCAAGGTCTGGCCAATAAAATAGGAATGACAAATATACAGGAAACAATTCAGCCACAGTTCCCACACTGTGCCTTGTTAGACGAAATCGGATTAAGACGACTGCTACAGCTATTGCTAACACTCAGACTGCCAATGTCATCCAATCGCATCCTTCATCCCATCTCTCCAAATTCCGAATGAATTTCTTTGAAAGTCCCATAAATGTCCAAGTGGACCAAACCAAGAAATGCCCTGCTTTTGCTGTTCATGACGTACCGAAGGGACAGACATGAGAAAGAAGCACGACCAGCAGTCGTCGCCATGGAAATTTGCTATCCACAGCAAATACTGACTCAGCAAAAACAGGTCACCGGCACAAACAAAAATCACGAACTGCATACTGCCTTTGACTGGTACCCTACCGATTCTTGCTTAAAGCTTCAATTGGCCAAGCATTCTTTTCTGCTCATCAGGGCCATGAAGCTGGATCCCACGTAGTTATCAAGATACATCTATGCTAGACTTTCATCACTGCTGCCTCTTTCTCGAAGTACCTCGGCAAAAGACCTTAAAAAGTACTTCTGATCTATGTGGGAGAAACATTGAGATACCCCCTCATGTAACACAGAGCAAAATGACTACTACAGACAGGTTCATTTATGTCAAACGTGAATGCAACCCCCCCCCCAAAAAAAGAAATTCTGCGTTGCTCCTCCCTCAAGGGACCTGCACAATCTTACTATGAAACAACTTGTTCTACATAAGTTTACATATTAAATAAGATATATCATAAGACATTCATCAAATTAACATAAAACAATGAACCCTTGATCTGCTCTGGCTTCCAAGCCACTTCGATATAGTAAAGGGCCGACACAGAGCAAAGTAAAGATTATCAAACAGCGCCTGTGCTCTGCTCTTGATAATAACAAACACGTGCCTTTTTTATATTCAACAGGATAAGTTTGATGAAACTATCAAAAAACCAAATTGGTAAAACCGAACTTAAAATACTCGTGATTTGAAAAAAATCCAAAAGAGGAAAACCCACATTAAATCCCTCATTAAAAGCAAAGGCCTTGTATCAAAGAATAAAGATGTGATGGGTGGGTGTACTTTAACAGATTAGACTTATTCACACATTTCACAACACCATGTCACTCTTCCTTATTTGGTCCGCATTGTTTGTTTTGTTTTTCCGATTCCCTTGAAGTGACCGATTTCAGGCCTGTATTCCCAAGCACAACAACTTCAATGATGCTCTGCAGTATTCACGTCCACTTACTGTAATCCAGGTTTATTTTCACCAAATACTGAGGGCACAACGTCATGCACAAGTGTCACACTTTCTAAATATTTGGCTGTTTGACAAGGGCTGTACACAGCTCACTACTTTGCTATTTTCAATTCCAAAATTGAACAAAAGCTTCTACTATCTCCATGGCTAATTATAATTTGAAGAACAGTGTTGTTACAAAAACAGAGTGATTCCACGACTAAAGATCAAATGTTAGTAATTCCTTTGACTGGACCAGATGGTTATGAAGTACAGACAGCTATGCACGCATTTCACTTACAGAAACATTGCCAACGTTCACTATTTTTCTGGCAAGGCCAACAAAAAATTACAAATGTTGGCAAATCGTTTGCAACTATTTTTGGTAAGTGGGATGAATGCACCAAGTTCTGAAAACCCTGGCTGATGCCACTTATCTCACCCGCATCACTGCTGCATCAATCACGTCACACTTGCTTTGCATCACCAGTTACCGACAGTTCTAATGAAACATATTAACTGGGGCAAAGCAAGGAGGTGCTGAACAGGTACCAACCCCACTCTTTGGTCTTAGCAAGCCTCTTCCACAAACTTTACCCCCCCTTTTGTAACATGTGCGCGCGCTGGTACTAAAATGTGTCGCAGACCCAGCAGTCCGCAGGCACACTTCTTCAAGTGTAACGAATGACCCAACAACTGAACAGTTACCTTGACTGTTTGGCTGGACAAGCTTGGACCGTGCCTAATGACGGTGACTGAACCTCTGCACACAGCTGACGGCATCATTAACCAATGGTTTCAGTGTGACAATTTGGAAGAATTGGTTCTCTTTTTACAACAGAAGTACAATGCAAAGCTTCACGCTCTGCCTGGGGGATGAACTTCATATTTCATTATGCTCACGTCCATAATTTAAATTTCAACAATCACTGATAAATATTGCTATTTTTAATTAACCGCACAATATTACATGCAGAGACAGCCACAATTTGTTAGAGATATAAGTGGAGTTTCAAAAAACAAAAAATAAGGAAAAAAAAGAAGAAAATAAAAGCAGACACTCCAAAAACACCGAGTCACAATCATAAAAAATAAACCCATCAGTTCCCTCTGCTGAGTGGTTTGCACAGTAAAATAGGTTGGGAATGACAACATCATTTACTGGTTACATTTCAACAATTATTTATAACCCCTTCAGTTGATATCAAAAGGAAAAGCGGGACAGAAACAGCAATTTACAATCCCCCTCCTTGCTGCCCCACAAACTCCTGGGAAGTTGGAGGTTTTTTGTTTTAAAATTGCCACTGCAAGTTTTGTGCCCTTAAAAGCGTAAACTACAATAATAGCTAAATGTGATACGTTTGAAGTGTCTTGTTTTTCTACAAGTTAAAGTTGGATTATTGTTTGAGCCATGCTCTATCCACCTTGAGATAACGACTTTAACGGCCTTGGCTGGGATATTAACCATCAATTCAAAATTTAGCAGTGACAAATAAATTCCCCTGTACGAAGCTACCGCAATAATCAGTGAAATCCTCAATACCTATTAATACACCAAGAAAATGAAACAGAAAAAAAGTAAAAAGACTAATTTACATAAGCACTTGTCAGTTTTTGTACACTCTGAAAAAAAAAGAAAAGCATTCTTGCTAACTTCAAAGTTAGGAGTGTTGAAATCACTCTTGATTTCATCCAAGATTCCAAGCTAGGAATCGCTTGTTTTTTTATGTTTACCCTTTAAGGACACAATTCCAGCATGTGCCACACAAAACAATAGGTAATGACGATTCTTAGACAAACCAGGCTATTTATAATAGTACAAGCCCCCGCAATTTATTTTGTTTCTTTGTTTTTAACGTATCCCGTGATTAAGAGCAGCACCCACCACCACCTTGTTTGACCGGCGTGCTACTTGGGTTGATTTTGTCATGTTTGCTGTCGGAGGGCGTGCTGCCAGGGCCCATGCGGTTCTTGATTTCGGCTGCCATTGTCATGAATGCCTGCTCGACGTTCGTGGCGTTCTTGGCACTTGTTTCAAGGAAGGGGATGTCGAGTTGATCTGCATATTCCTGTGATGCAAGACAATAAAAAAAAAGGAATAAAGAACGATAGTTCAGGGCACCTGGATACTTTTCTAACCAAATAAAATTCAAATTTTTTTGCTATTTTCTGTTTGAAATGTGGTTAACATAACGATCAGACTATGTTAATTTTTCACGATGGGTTTTACCCTTACATCGACAAGTATTCATAACACTGCATATTTTATGTTGATCAAGAGCTTGCAAAAACAATTCACAAGCTTACTCAGGTGGGACTCGAACCCACAACCACCTGCTTACTAGTGCAGACATCTTAGCCACTTGACCACCAAGCTTGCTGGGGATCGGCTGGCAATGTATTCATAACACTGAGCATGCAGAGGCAGAAATACAACAGGAGCACTGACATCCTCTGCAATCACTCCCCTACCTTTGCTGTTGTGTAGTCCACAACTTTCTTGGTCGTCAGGTCACACTTGTTCCCCACCAGTAGCTTGTTGACATTCTCTGATGCGTAGCGGTCAATCTCTTGTAGCCACTGCTTCACATTATTAAAAGATTCCTGAAGGGGAACAAGCAAGGTAAGGAAATGAATCAGCCACATTTTTCTTTTTTAAACATGCGGGCCAAGGCCAGGTCAACTGTCAGCAACGTCATGGATCAGCTCTGAGCACTACACGTAAAGGAACCAAATGCACCTGACATCACATGGGGTAGGCTAACATGTGAATACATGTCAACTTTACTTTGACAAGAAACCGGTTTAGCCTAGAATGGGACACAAAGCAGTGAAGTCAAATGAATTCCACATTCTGGCATTTGAGAAAACAAATCCACACTTCCTTGTCCCAACATAGAATTGATACTATGTCCGAGATATAAATGGTCATCTGTAAAAGAGCTGATCTAAAGAAACTTCACTTAACCACTTCACACAGGACAAGTGAACCATAATGCTTTACTGTGACAGTTTCAAGAGAGTGTCTTAACACATTCTGGCAGTTGAACGAACATGGGCCGTTTTCCAATACTCAACTTCGTCTCCGTCTCAGGCTTCGTTCCAACAACCAATCCCCGATTGTGGGCCTGAAGCGTTTAAATTACATTGGATTACTGTAATTTTGGGCTTTCTTGCATCTTATTTGATGTTCTGTGGCACTATTTGACTGATTACTGCGCTTACAGCTTCAAAGTCAGCTAGTTAAAAAACACTTGAAGCCTGAGACGGAGCCAAAGTTGAGTATTGGAAAAACGGTCTTAGGATCTGACTAGTAACAGTATCCTGACTTGGCCAAACACCACAGCCAGATGTAGTAAGTATCACTCAGGAACACTGCCTTAAGCGGCACTGCCTCACAAGATATTTCTTACCTTATGGTAAGAAATGAAATACTCATCTCGTACCAGCAACTTTCCAAATGCAGCATGTATTGTATCCAATTTAATTAAAAAGGAAAAGTGGCAAAGATGTTGTTCCCGAAATAAAACATGTCCGGGACCAGTTCGTTGTAAAATATTATCTGCAAATTCCTGTTCAACGACCGAGTTTGTCTGATGGGTGCTCATATTTACTGTCTGCTGTTTAAACGACTAATCACACTCATTCAGCACTTTAGATGCAATGCCCATTAAGTTTAAACCCTAATCAACCGTTCTCATTTTCAAGGAGAAAAAGGGTGTATTTTCAAGGAATGAGTCTCTCAACTCGGCCAAAAAAGGAATCTATTGCTAATGGAATGCCCCTCCTTTGAGGGAACTTTGACAGTCTTGATCACAGTTGTTAATGGTGTTCTATCCTTACCTGATCTGTAACATCATATACCACTATGATTCCATGCGCACCTCTATAGTAGCTAGATGTGATGGTTCGGAACCTTTCCTGGCCTGCTGTATCCCACTGTCAGAACCAAAACCAAATGACATTTGATTATCAATCATCTGTCTGTTGCAAACGCCGTCTCAAAAGTTGAGAATTAACCCCTGCAAGGAAACGACTACGAAAGAATGTGTGGTTGAAATGAGGAAATTTGTCGATGGCACCGTGAAGTGATGTATGGCTGCCACACCAAAAGGGCACATCGTCCAGTGCCTGGAAGAAGCTTCTGCCTGGAAGCATGATCACTGCAAAAAAAAAATTTTTCCGGCAAAAGAAGATTTTTAATGAAATATAACCATTTCTTTGCTAAAAAAGTTTTAAAAATATCTTCCCAAGTTGTTTAATAAGTTGTTCAAAAGTTACTTTTAGTACAGCCTGTGTAGGTTTTGTAGTAACTTATTACTAAATAAAGAGAGTGTGTTTCTCATTTCGTTTTGCTGGGAACATTTTGTCTGCTGTGATTACGCTTCCCTGCAAAATGGCGTAAGCACACACATACACCCTTTTTCCAGACACACGACGATATACTGTGCAAAAGAAAAAAAGCCTATGCACAATATATCACTTTCTCGTGCCTCGGAAGTATTATATACTGGTAAGACACTTTGTAATGGGACGATAAATGGTTGGAGAATAGTAAATAGGGGAATTCCAGTGTAGGACCCCGGGAACAGAGTAACGGTTCTTTCACCTAAAAAGCCATCCTGTTACACAGGCTTTATGCATGGCCAATAGAGGGCGCTTTATACCAAGGACATCTCTCCTTTGGGCTGATACCACTGACATTTGCATGGGTTTATTTGCCGCATGGTTCCTTGTTCCTCTGATAACTTATAAATACCGGGGGGGGGGGAGAGGAGGGAGAGAGAGAGAGGGTTAGACTATACCCGATCCCTTCGTTGCCATTCAACCTCGGAATAAAAAGTGGTGACAAGGATCAGACAGTCAGCTCAGCTGCAGCATTCAGTGATATCACAAGATAACAATGATGCCATTATGGCTCTCTGGTTTCTTTTTGTCTTGAGGACAAATTGATGTTTTATCCATCTTTTGTCCCTCAGGTGACTATTAACCCCTTCATGCGGGGGATTCTTTTGACGGTGACTGCTGGGCTGTGGTACACCCAGTATGCAAAACACTGTCACTCAGCAGGCCCCATTGAACCAGCAGCTGCATGGTGAATAGAAGGAATCGGGAATAATGTTCATGGAGGAATTTGAACAGCTCGCCATCAACACAACAGACCATAGACCCAAAGTTTGGCTCCGATATGTGGACGACACTTTCGTCATCTGGCAGCATGGGCAGGACAACCTCCGACTCTTTCTGGAACACCTCAACGGGCTTCACAGCAGCATCCAGTTCACCATGGAACAAGAACCTAATGGCAACATTTCCTTTCCTGATATTGAGGTGACCAGAAAGGAGGACGGCAGCCTAGCCCACACGGTCTACCGCAAGCCCACCCACACGGACAGATGCCTCCACAGCACGTCCTTCCACAATCCCAAGATCAAGTCATCTGTCAACCGGGCCCTTGTCGGCTGGGCATACAACATCTGCGACAAAGAATTCCTCGGCCAAGAACTCCACCACATCACCGCAGCACTGCAACGTAACGGATACAAGCCAAGGCAAGTCCAAGACCCAAGATCCCAGATCTACCCCCCGGCCGAATGGTCTCCTATACCCAAAGCCAACTAGTTAGGGCCCCTAGTTCTATCACCCTCCCCTACTTAGGCAGTACTTCCCACCATATCCAGCGCATTCGCCACAAGTACGGTATCCGAGTTTTCCACTCAGCCCCACTGCAGTTGCGCAACCTGCTCACCTCGCACAAGGACCGGCAGGACCCCCAGCGCAGACCAGGGGTGTACAGAATTCCTTGCCAATGTGGCAAAGTGTTCATCGGCGAGACGGGCAGGGACCTCCCTCCCGAGATTATACTGCACACTGGCAGGCAGCTCTACAGGTCCAAGAGTACTTTAACCCTAACAGTCCTGAATGCTAAGTACCACTTAGTAAAATGTAGTACTCAGCCCTGTCGCTTGTAAGAGGACATGACATTATTATTCTCTGAAGCCATGAAATACAACAGAGAAGACAATGTACCATACAGTGCTGTGGCACTATGAATGTATGGTTTCTCTGTTCTCTGTACGAGTAACAATGGAATAAACCTAGCCAGAAATAGTAATTTGCAGCGCTAGGTCCTTCAGGCTCAGAGTGTCACATAGTATTTTGTAGTACTGAGTACTCCATGCCAAACAAAGCCCGGTACTGTTAGAGTTAACTTCTATTACTTAAGACTTCAGAAAAGGAACACAACTGCACAGTTACGCAATGACTGGACTCTACAGTCCTACAAGCACTGTGATTAGATTGTTCTTAAACTTTCAGATTTTCATACGGAGTAACAAACTACCTCTTTTCAAGATCAGCTCTCTCTGCTCAAAATTGGCTCTGAAGTGCACATACATGTAAATAAACAGTCCAAAACTGCCGAAACCATGGAAACAGTGCTGTCTAAATGCTTCTTTCTGCTCTTTAATATTGGGAGTTTTGTCCTTCAAGGGCACATGCATGTACGTAACGCTGAATACTCGGTGTTTCCAGTACCACAAATTTACCTCCAAATTTCACTGACTTCCACCTCATGAAATTATCCCCGACGTAAATTGGTCCATAATTAAAATCAGGCCTAACCCTCATGAAGCCTCTAACCTCAAACAGGTTTTGACGACTTTCAAGGAAGGGTTGGGTTTTACTTTACTCATTAAAGTATCTCATGTAGCACTCTGTTTGGTGAGAACTAAAAACGCTGTCTAGTATTCAGAGGTTCAAGTCCTAGCTCAATCAAATCTTTTTTTATCACCAAGTATGTTCTGCTGCCATGCTTTATGGCTATTACATATTCACGGCAGTTGCTTACTGTGTCTGTACTTACAATTTGAAGTTTGATTGTTTTCCCGTCTAACTCAATGGTTCTTATTTTCTGCAAATGAAAACAGTGAAAAAAGGGAGTCCTGTAAGAACACCTCCGCACAGGACACCATATCAAAGTCAATGTACCAGCACTTGACGTCATGATATCTAAGTGTATCATGTGACCAATTATATAAAGTATTGCAATATTTATGCTCTGCAGCTAAGGCAAAAAGAAGTGGACCACCTCTTTAAAAACCTCAAATATCCTGTTATACAAATGGGTTGATCTATGGGCCAATGTACACAAACATTTCTTTCATAAGCTATACAAAATATCATCAGGTCAATATGGTGATGCCATTTTGATATTATGAGGTGACAGATGTTGTAATGATTATTCCTGTTTTCCTAGTAAGCTGTCCCTCTGTGATACATTTAACAGCATAATATCAGTGCATGCAGTTACACAATACAAGGAATTGTTTATTCACATAAATTCGAACTAAATGTGCATTTTGATATCTGGAGGTAGACTTTTTGAATTGTCAAAATGATGCGACTCTTAAGGACTGAAAAAAATAGCCTTTTCTTTACTTAGCCCTGAAAATCAAAATGTGAGTTTTGAAATGTAATAGAGGTTATGAGTTGCTGGCATCTTCACAGTATCTGAGAGACTATTTCTCTTATTTTAATTTAATTGCAATGAATGCACAAAAGGTTTACTCGAGTCTATCCCTGTGATACAAAGCTCTTGCCCTCTCAGGACGCGTTCACACACAACTTCTATTTTAATGAACACATAATCCCAAAATCATGTACATATACCTATACATTTAGCAGACCGCCTGAGTTTGTCGCTACATGTGAATTATTTTCTATTATTCCTAGCACACCAGCATTAGAAAATATCTGCTGAAACACCAAGATTTACGCTCATTTTCCCTCACAAGTTACATGCATATTTGCACAAAGTAACCACTTATCCATGGAAATGTTTATTTTGCCGTGTGAAAAAGTGGTGGTACAGGTACATGTATATATTGTTTGCATAATTAGTCTTCTTACACCTACACACACACATGCAGGTACACAATCTTCCTATAACCCTAATCCTACACAATACTACAAATTACTGCTTGCAGTAAAATGTAGTAATCAGCGCTGTCGCTTGTAAGAGGACATGACTTTATTGTTCTTTGAAGCCATAAAATGCAATAGATATGACAATGTACTATACAGTGCTGTGGCACTATGAATGCATGGCTTTATATTTCTCTGTACAAGTAACAATGGAAGTAAGCTAGCCAGAAGTTGTGATCTGTAGCGCTAGGTCCTTTAGGCTCAGGCTATTACTTAGTATTTTGTAGTACTGAGTACTGTAAGCCAAACAATTATGCTTGGCGGTGAGGGTTAAACTTCATTTTCAACTTAAGGGAACTCCCACAGTTCTTTTGTCTCTCTTCAAGTATACATGTACATCAGCTGTATGTTTACGTGGGTATCAAGCCTGCACCACATGGTCACACAATGCAAACGGGAAAAACAAACTTACAAAGTCTACACCGATTGTGCTGATGTAACTTTCTGTGTAAGTGTCATCCTGTACGGCACAAAGAGAGAGAGAGAGAAGGAAATGAATGGTTAGTAACTCTCCGTGAGCTATCAACTCACAGACAGGAAACCAAAATACAGTACCTCAGAAGATGAGTACAACCACACTATGTAGTTTCCAATAAACAGACTTTGACAGTCAAAAAGTGGCGTGGCCACACAAAAAAAATGGCAACGGAGAGCAGTTTGTCTGGCGATACCGTACATTCGCAAACAATGTGGAGAACCCTTAGGTTTTCTGACCTTCCACAATTAAAAATGGCGCCCCCCATGGAATTTTGTGGCTGATTGTCTGTGTACAAAGTAGGTCCCAAGATTCTTTCCTATCACATCTCTTCAGCCCTTTCAAGGATTTGCTGCATCTCCTCTTCAATTTCCTCGATTTAAGTTCCAATGCATCCTCAAGATTCCTGCTGCAACTGCCTCGGGAAAATAGTGTTTTCCCTTGTATGTAATTAATGTATGTGATCAAGGATCATATCAACAAATTCCTTTTTCTCTTTGACTGCATGTGTCTTTCTGTTGGAAACTGCGAGCTCTAGTGGTCTTTGGCCATGTGATTAACAAATCAAAAAAATAAAAAATCTGCAGTACCCCAAAAATGAAAACAAGAGCCGATTCTTGGATTTCACTTTTTGTATTTCGGTTTCAATTCATCTGGTTACAATGCACATCCAGTAATCCATAGTGCATTTTGTAAATCTTGCACCTTGTAATGCTTTCGGCATGCTGCATAATAAACTTAAGCTCTACCAGGTGCGGCTAGACAGGTTGACGCACACAGTTTCAATATTACCAATACTGAGAGAAAAATGGCATCATCACTTGGCAAAAACACACTGCATGACAACAGACCAATGAAAAGAACCAGTCTCTCTCTCTGACCAATCCAATTGTTTTTCTCTCCTCTTTCAAGCAAAGACTGTAAACAGTCTACTCACTGCAAATCGTAATAGCAAACAGGACTTTCCCACACCAGAGTCTCCGATCAGCAGGAGCTTGAACAAAAAGTCACTGCAGCAGAAAAGAAACAAACATCACAGGGGCTCTTAATAGCATGTACATACATAATGATTTAACACTGCAGTGCACTTGGGAGCATTCATCGAGTTAGTTTATATACAATACAATGCACTTTTACCTGCACAACAAATTACTTGTGTGTATTATATTACAAAGTGTATATTTGGGTGCAACTCTGGTTTCTATTTGTGCATTTATTCTGTGAAATACTTACCAGCATATTCAAACCTGTAATGCTGTACATACATGAAGTACTTTATTGTGACATTAATATCCCAATCTATTATGCATGAATCGATATACCATCCCAGCAGCAGAGCACAACTGAAAGTCCAGGTACCCTTATAATGTATGATATTTTATAGTAGATACAAGTCATGTTGAAAAGGGAAACACGCTCAATTAGTGGTGGTACATGTAGGTGGGTGTATGAGTGGAGGAAGACACACACTGCAAGCTGTGTGTTTTGTTTTCATGCTTTTTATGATGATCTACTCGCATACTGATTCCAACCCCGTTGCCTTTGATCACCAAAACAGGAAGTCTATGATACACGTACATGTATGCGTACAAATTCAATGCGCGTCCACAACACTCATGACAAAGAAGTCAATCGTTCAGATTAACAAATACAAGCAATTAAGGTACAAGCGTTTTATCCCTCAATGACTACATCAAGCAATTTCAGATGACAACATCCAGAAAGGTGTCCCATTGGCAAGGCAGCTGTGCACAACCACATGATGGATCTAGAGTCAGAAAATGAAGCCATCTAATGCTGTCACTAAAAGCCCGAAATGAATAGTTGAATCATCCTCGTGTTGAGACACTGGGCATTTTGAAACGAGTGGATTCGGCTTAGACTTTGGTTTCACAGCTTCCAAATACATGTTCAAGCTCTGACGGGAACCAGCGAAACTGATGTCTATGCAGAATTCACTCATTTTGAGAACACTCACTGATTCTAATACGGGTTTACCTGCGAAATAATGTGCAGACAACCATTCTACGGGTATATTACACAGCAGTTGGGTCCTAGATAGATGTTATATTGGGATAGATGTGCTGTGAATATCTCTATACAGTATATGAATGCAGAGGGAAATCCGGATGGCAATCAATCTGATATCAATGTCTATGTAGGTTGATTACATGACTGTGGATGAGGTGCAGTACAGTGGAACGTCGCTATACCAAACACCGCTATACCGAACATTCGGCTGTACCGAACATTGTCCTTGGCTCCCAGTATTTGGTGCAAAAAGCTACCGAACATTATGTACATGTAGTTGCAAATCAACCAAGATTCGCCACAGCATGCATCAGAGATCGATCCTGACCAGTAGTTTCACGACTTTTAGGATGAACTAAATATGAATTTTGTAAATCAAGATTTAACAAAAAACAAAAATAATTAACAGATATATTTCTAGAAACCTCAAACGTGAATGCAACGGCAAAACATCACGAAAATAGCGAATCATAGTATCACAAGAGGGTGCACTTCAGTTAGACAAGAGAGGGCACTATTCAACATGGCAACGAAACATTTGGTAGTTAATTTCTCTATACCTAACGACCGCTGTATTGCAAATTTAGCGTGGACCCCACCGTGTTCGTTATAGCGGCGTTCTATTGTACATAATATACAAAATCAACCTCAAGAGATCATTTTTTCCACAATAAAGAAAGGCCTAAGCATGCACGTGCTCAATGAAACTTGAAACTGTACACAGTAAAATGTATGGTATATTCCTTGTTTATCTAAACGAAGCTGTGATGTCTTGATAATGATTACTGCCAAGAATTTATCAGAGATGATTCATTATCCAACCAGGATTGATGGACACTATATGTTACCTATAATCTCTTTGGCTTTGAGGGATTACTGTTGCATTTATGCAAATATGCATGTGAGGTATGGATTTCTGGTACATGGCAGAGTGCAGTGGCAGAGTGCACTAGCAGAGGTAGTAAATTTATTAATTTCCCGCTCAATTTTCACTTCGCAGCTAAAAGACATGTAGGTTTACAAAAGAAGTTGACCAGTGACAGAAAGTTGCTGAAAATGCATGTTTGTACAGACCAAGTACTGCTTTGACAATAAAAGTGGCCCACAATTAAGTCGTGAAAATTTCTAATGTCACATACAATGCATACTGTGCTGCAATTTTCAACATGGGCTCTTCAACTGAGCATAAAAGAGCATAGCCATATCAAAGCAGGCAAGCATGCATACCTGTCTTTGGTGTACGATAATGTAATGCATGAATACAAGCAAACTAACAGGAAAAAAAATGTACTGATGCTCAGATATACTGGTACACTGCCATTTCTCAAACCACAATCCCAAACATGGCCTTTGCTATATAAATGATGTTGATTCAGGCATCACAATTCACCTAAAAGGTCAACACAGGTCAGCAAGGTGATAGTCCACAACTGTTTGATTTCAGAAAATTAATCCTATGGCCGTTTTTCAATACTCGACTTCAGCTCCGTCTCAGGCTTCAACTGCTTTTTTACTACCTGACTTCAAAGTTGTAAGCGCATCAGTACATATATTAGTCTGATAATGCCACAAAACATCAAAATGCAAAAGAGCCAAATATTACAGTGCTTCAATTAAATCTGAGCGCTTCAGGCCCACAGTTGGAGATTTATTTTCCAGACGAAGCCTCAGACAGAGACAAAGTTGAGTATTGGAAAAAGGCCTACATAGCAGCAAGGCATCAATCTTCTGGCATTGCAAATGTGTAGCAAGGAAAGAGTGCGCATGTAGCACACATGTACATGTTGTGCAGTGAAATCTGGTAAGACTTTGGTCGTACTGACAGTCCCTCAACTTGTTGGAGTTCAAGTGACAAGGCAAGAGAATATTTAAAGCATTGACCTTTCAAACATGGCTCTTACACAGCACTTTCAAAGGAAAACAAAAGCCTTGGTAAAGCATTATGGGAGCTTACTCTCATTCATGCTACTAATAATCTTATTCATTATTAAGGCTTGGTAATTTGAATACTTGAATATTCAAAGTCACTTTCCATACAATATAATATTAAATTGCACCACATGCAAACTTAATATCCTACCTCCATACTTGTACAAAAAAGGTAAAAAAAGCAAAATTTCAAGGAAAAGAATTTTTCCTTACTGTTGGGCATACACATTCAGCAACCTTTTAAGTTTTGTCAGAAAACCATGCAATATACCTTTAAGACACAATTTTTAACAAAAACATAAACTTTTTACAAGTTAAATTTGAACAATGTCTAGTACAGAGAATTCTTTAAATTCATGTGAACATAATTCAAATTGTCCATTCTAAAGACACTGTTGCTATACCTTGGGATTCGGGCCAAGTGTTTACTTAGTTACAGAAATGCCTTGCACCAATACTGTTTTCAATGGATAAAAAGTGCATACAGGAACCAGTCCATTCCAGAGATGGTGGTCACAATGCCAAAACTTGGTCTGAATCACAAGGCATAGCAAGAGTCTCTTTAGTCTGGGGAATTCAAATAATAATTATCAAGCTAAAGTTTAACTCACAAAACGCTAATTGAAACTTCCCTTTATTTCACGGATGCACATCTCCAAATAGTCCATGACCTTTCCTACAATTTAACCCTGATGTTCCCCATCCCATCAATTTACAACAGCAGAGTTGGTTGAAATTTGACATGTATGATGGGTTGAGTTCTGTGTACATATGAAACTTACTACATAAAGTGTTGGGTTATGACAGGATGAGTACTGTACAGATGCAGCAACAGCGATGGGTTTTGACTGAGTGGGTATGGTTGATATTGCCCAGTACCTGCTGCTGGGTGTTTGATGAATAATGTAAACAATTTTATGAATGCTTATAAACAATGGGGGGTCATTTGGTCATGTGCCTGTACTTAAGGAGTAGAATAAATTACTCTAGTATGTTTGGTGACCTTGCTTTTTAAGAGAAGTCATAGATAAAAACAAAGAAATCTGAGCCCCCCCACAAAGAAAATTGTGTATAGCCCTGCAGTTGTTAGATCTTGAAGGGATGAGTACACTGTGTCCCCATTCCTTATAAACAGCAGTCCTTCATTTAAAGGAGTGCTACCGCACTCCTCAACACTCCTAAAGGAGCGTAAAAAATCATGCTGCTAAAAAAATCTAAGGGCACCTTACAAAAAACGAACAATACGATAAATACAGTGGATAATATCACATAAAAGGACTGTGATTCACAATTTCACATTTATCCCACTGCGACTTTCATACGTAGGCCAATAATTATTGTACGAATATATAATGATCACTGCATGGCGAGCAGGGCCCGCTTTCAGACCGGCCAGCAGGGCCCTGCATGCACGTGCATCATGCACAATGTACCTACGCTTGCATGTGCATGTATATCACACGCAGTTTCACTGTATGTGGTACAACCTGTTACATGTTTTTATTGGTCAGTAAAAAGTGAGAGCAAATCCGTATCAATCTTCTTTACGGGGCGCGTAAACAGAAAGCGGTGTGCCATGAGCTTTGGTCATCATGAAAATGTTGCTCCATGCATGTACAGTGTGTGTGCCCACTGAATTAACACAGGAAACCCCAGCGTGTCGGACCATAATCATACGTAAACACTATCACGTTCACACATACATGCACGCGTGCTGGTTTGATGTTTTCCTATTTTGATTGAGGTGGGTTTGTTACCATCAAGCATCAACTTGAACAAAGTTGAAGAGCAGTTTAAACCTTCAAATCCCCTTCGGGTTTTTTTTTTTTGAAATGCTCAAATCAGGATGAAAAAAGGTTTACTTCCACTTTTATTTAAATTAAAGGGATATGTAAATGACACACAACTGTGTTGAATTGTAGTTGAAACTTACATGTAATGTTAGTAAGTCAGGCCTAAATAGTGTATTTTTAATTCGCAAGTATAAAAATTACGGTTCAAATAAAAAAGCACTGAAATGATGTATGTATCGACAACTCATTTCTAACTGAAGTACAACTAAATTAATTTTAAAAATTGCCCCAAGAACTTTATAAACCATCAGAGGAAGTGGAAAAAAACAACATAAACCCCCAGGGTACAAACAATCCACTTCTTTTAATTGGTTTATTTTAAGGAGAGCGATTTGCTCTCCTGAAAGATTTGAGGAAAGCAATTTATAGCTATCCTGGATTTTCTGAAAATGGACTGCATAGTATATGACCAAGTATCCCCACTCAGCCCAACCCAACAGTTTACTACCTGTTGGAGTTTGTTGGATTGAGTACTGATACAGCAAGTGGACTGTTGGAATCCCATGGGTTGAGTACACACACCCCACCCAGCAGCGAAAGGGTATTGGAATTTGACGGATTGAGTTAGCCTTCTAGAAAAAAATGCTGAGGAGGTTAGGGTTAAACCCAAAAGTGGTGGCAACACGGGTCACAACTTAACTCTACAGATCCCCAACCAGCCAAACTCCAATACTGGGATTTGTTGGAATCTGTTAAGACGAGTACTGCACTAGTAAACAGACTGTGTTTTGCGAGCAATCAGGCATAACACGAACAAGCACAGTCCAACTGTTTATGAGCACAGTTTACTACATGTATGGCTTTTAGCTTTGCAAGGATGAGGAAGGTTCACAGGAAAGTGACAACTACACAGAACCCCCTGCACTCCACATGGTGTGCATCCTGCCGGTATCAGTCCAGTCACACACATTCCGTCCCCCTTCCCTCGCCGCCGAAAATGATGACAGACAGACATGTGGAGATGGCTCCGGTCACGGCTGGCAACATGCAAACAGTGATGTATACAAAGTGTGCAATGCGGAGCAATCAGTGAGAATAAGAGACTGGGGTGTAAAAACTCTGCTTTTTCAAGAAACAGTCAGTCTCATGGTCTAAAACCACTGTAATGAAGTTTTTAAGAGCTATAAGTACCCCATGATTGCTCTCATGGGAAAATTTGATTTAGAAAGTGGAATTTGCGTGACCAGTAATTGACCTCTGAGGCTGGATTGAAAAATGAGATAGCGTAAATACTCCATGTAAACTAAAATGGCCAAATGCACACAGAGGTGCCTTTTGGTTTCCAGACATGCCAGAAGTACATGTAGGCCCAATTCCACTCCAGCATGTCCAGCTCTATCATGTCTATGGGGCGGCGTGGACATCAGGGAGTTTAGCAACCGATGAATACAACTGCAATGAACACATGGGCACACGTACATACTGCCACACGTACGTCACCATAGTTGCTGTTTTCATCAGTTACTATCCGCCATTTTGCAAGAGTCTCGCATGACCACGCCACCCCATAGAGTAGGCTGCTCTAGCCCCACTACTAGTGTGTTAAGGACCCTCACTCCCGCTTCATCCTTAGCCACACATCCGTACATGCAATTTGTTGCGGGCACAGTCAAATCTTCGGCGCACCCTCTTATAATCGTAGGCACAAATTTTTTTGCAGAAAAAAATGTTCCTTAGTCTCTCCGCTTTCAAATGACCATTAGTTGAATGAATTCATTCACGTTGTTCTGGTATTTTCCAGTCTTTTGCCTCAATCTCACAGTCTCACTCTCACACACTATCTTTAAAGTAAAATGAATCTGTTGAACTTTACGTCATTTGACCCCGGCCCGCAGATGGCTGTTTCATGTCAAGAACTCTACAAAAAAATAAATGCTTAATACTTCAGATGTAAATTAGCTATGTCGAACGCTTAATAAAAGTACGTTGTAAACTTACCTGCACAATCGCTCAGTCCGCAAGACTTCTGTTGTATATTAGATATGCCTTGACATGGAACAGCTGTTTGCAGGCCGGGGTCAAGTGATGTAAAGTTTAACAGACTCATTTTAGTTTAAAGATGGCGTGTGAGAGTGAGACCATGAGATTGAATGCGTAAAGGCAGAAAGACTGGAAAATACCAGAACAACATGAGTGATTATAAGAAGGTGCGCCGAAGATTTGACCACGCCGACAAAAAATTGTGTATATGGATAGGCCTATGTGGCTTGGCCCCCCTAAGGATGGAGTGGGATCGGCACTACTAGTGCCAGTGGGGTTAAAGCTGCTCTTTAAATTAGGAAATTTGCAAATGTCCGAACTGTTTGTAACCCCAATATTGATGAACCCACGATGAACATATCTAACCCTTACCATTCTTATATCTAACATGATTCTGCATATGATAATTTATTGAAGAATCATCATGATCATGAAAAATTTTGTGCACCCGAAATTTTAATCCTAGTTTCTGGTTAAACTTTTATGTAGCCAACTGTTTTAGCTCATTCAGAATGTTCACTATGCTTTGTATTCATCATTACACGGACAAATCTTAAACCTAATTCTCAGCTAAAGTCCTCAGCCAGCCCACAATTGATTGCCCCATCGTGCCCTTCCCCAAGCATGCCAAGACTCGGACAGTACACCCGGCTTCATCATCATGACGTATTGCTGAACACGTATTCACACTGACGCACACACACGATGGTGAATGCGGAAATGTCCACCAGAAATTCTCGTTTTTCCAGCCAATACCGCCATACTTACTATTCGGGATTCATTGTGGACATGGCAAGGGTAATTCCAGATCTAATAAGTCTCTTTCCCGTTCACTTGTGGACGGAAAACTTCATGTAGGGCTGCTTCGAAAATTAAGGCTGAAACCGTCGTAGTCAGGTGCAGGAAGTTCCAATATGGCTGCCAGAATGAAGAAATAAATTGGTTATGCGCAGGGGGTGTAGTCATTGGATAGGGGTGACGTCATCAAACGACGTGGCATCACCTGACCTCAATCAAAACTACACGGGCCGGCCAGGCTTGCTGCTTCAGAGAAAATCTCGGTGAACGGACGTTTCTCTTTCAAGTTCAATTTCTCGGTCTGCGCTCGTAATTTTTCTTCGACATGATGATGTGATGTGTCATAACAACGATCCTTACAGTTAAAGCACGTTATCTGTACATTATCTCAAAGTAAGGCCATGAAGAAAACTAGGAACTCATAATGGATAGTTGGTGTGCTATCGCACCCCATGGATCTCATCATGATCACTATCAACCCACTCGTTGGACGGTTGTGTTCGCGGTTATAGTTTTCTCCAAACAGGATTTAAAAATGATAGAAATGGATAAATAAGACACTTTAAAATAGCACTAAGCATAAACATGTAGACAACGGTAGTTGCCCAGTCTTTAGTACCTTTATTTAGTGATGAAAATCAGGGAGTCAGGTGGACATCTTAAAGATTTATATAGAGCTGTAGCGGAGATTTTGTGCGGTTCATCAGTCACCACGTGGAAGACAGCTGGTGGTGACAGAGCACCAAAACAACAGGAGGGTAGGGATTCTAAGAGCAGAATAGGCACACTGGTGGAAGACAAAACAATAATAGAAAGGGGTCACATGGGACGTAAGTTTTTCTTTATTTTTTGCAGGCAAAGTCTTGGGCTTCCCCACCTACTTAGGGGAATCTATAGCCTACAAATCTAAAATGGGGCCGGGCATCAACTTAACAGGCGCGGTTCTAGAGCCATAGGAAGGGGGCGGCTAGACCCTTCGCATGTGACGTCACATTTTAACTTTCGCTACTGCTGTTTCATTTTTGCATGGGGGCTAGACAAAAAGCCATCCCCTAGGCCCCCCATAGAACCGCGACTTAAGACTTTACAAATTTACACAAATGAACTTAACTCACTTGATTATTTACATACATGTACACATACTTACACTTTCTTGAGTAATAACAATTTTCATGTGCATTACAGAACGAGTAGTACATTTTTACCGTCAGTAATACTTTTAACCAACCAACTGCCAAGTGACACCAAATGCTTGCCATTATTAACATGACTACATGACGAGCTCTGTTGATGAGCTATGAGGATGTTATTGAGGGCTCTATAGCCAGACGAAGACTCTAACTTAACGAAGGGCTGCGTCCAAGTTTTCACTCGGCTGCGGCCTGAAAATATGCACGAGTCTATGGTAAAGTGGTCAGCCACGGCTACGGATGGAGCTATGTTTGATTTCAAGCCACAGCCAAGTGATTTAGACGTGGCCGGTCTTGGGCAGACAAGACAAAAGTAGAAGTCTTACGCTGATCATACTAAGAATGCAAGGCGTAAGTTGATAGACCTAATTTCAAACTTTAATTTGCCGCTCGATTGAGTAGTTTTCTGACTTGCGTTGGTAACAAGTCACTATGTGCAAGTCCAAGTCAAGTCACAACTCATTTTTGCAAGTCCAAGTTAATTCATAAGTCAAAAACGGACAGTTACAAGTCAAGTCACGCCGTCATCAAAATCATAGCGACTCGAGTCCGAATCAAATCCAAGTCCAATGACTCGAGCCTACAACTCTGGTAATTACGTGCAATATGTGTACAAGTTACCAGAGAAAAATGATAGTGGGTGGATAAAATCCCCATCTCTGTTGTTGGAGTGATTGAAACAACTCTCTCCTTGCTCCGACTCCGACACAAAAGCCTCCTCTGACACTAATTCTTTCAATTCAACGGAATTCACGTTGCGAATATTACGATGTATCACCCATCCCAAGACCCGTTCTAATGTAAGTTGTGCCGAGGAGCCGCCTCAGTCATGCTTTAAGTTCACCTGTGCGCCTGACTATAGCGTTTGCTGAAAGGAAACAAGATGAGTAGTAGATAGAGGGACCCGATCTCAAAAGACGGAGGACCAGTTATGTAAGTTATCATCACTGAGTGGAAAATTCCAAAGCATTACTTAGGTACTTCGCCAACATCCCACGTGAAGTTTGTTTCAGCTTCCATGGATTAATTTTGCTCATTTTAGGTAGTTTTGTAAGGAATGTCATAAAATTTTTCTAGCCAGCAACATCTAACAAAACGAGAAAAAAATAGAAATGAAAGGGCCGCATAAAAACTATTTAAATTGCTCATGATTCGCTGTCTTTTTAAAACTCCTAACTATATCGTATTACATCATACCCTCCATTCGACACTTTTGGCACTTCACTGAAACATGGAGGAATAAAACAACCGAAATGAATTTTTATTTAAGGTGGGTCTCCGGCTTGCATGCACGACCGCCTTGTATATTCCTTTGCACAACAACCAGTGGATGTTCTTTGCAAAGGGAAAATAATTATGGCTAGTCTTGAGAGGAGACTGGTATTCACACCTCGTTTTGTGGAAGCTCCACCTGTTGAAATCAGGTTGAAATGACGGAGTGCATACAGGGGGATAATGTGTGTTTGTGAGAAAAATCCTCTAGAGTCACGATCACAGCCTTATGGAATTTACCGTTGTGGTAAAAAAAGAACTTCGCTGCTGTACTGGCACCCCCGTTGTATAGTATAGCGCCCTCTCTAGCCAGGAGCCCCATCACGGCGCAGCGCTGGCTGTAGTGTTATGGTCACGTGACGTTCATAGCGACAAATACTACGTACACAACTGTACCCGCAGAACCCATGCTGACGAGATCTCCGTGGTCACGTTTACTAGAAAATCGGAGGACTTTGGAGACTGGAAAATGGGTGAAGAGGAGTCGGAAACAACAGGAAAGCTTGGAAGCAAGCGCATATTTGTTAACCACGTCGACTGTTATCATGGCAAGAATATTGGAAAAGTAAGTAAGCAACAGCTGACCAGTGAAAGTTTTCCTTCAGTTTGCCACTTTGCCTAGACCCGTAATTGGCCCAATACTTGTACTTGTAATATTGTGTGCTTGACACAAGTTTGATGGTTGCTTGGTTTATTGTGTGTCAGATACAGGAGTACAACTATATTATATACATGTACATATACACTCTATACATGCAGACATGGGGCTAGGTCTAATGGGGTAAAATGATTGATGTATAGCAGGTGGGGCATTAGGATCCAGAAGAGGGCAGAGCTACAACTTTACAAGGACATTCTAAAAAGGGTACTGTTGCTGGGTAGAGTTATGGTGGTCAGGAGTGGACGTGTAAGAGTGCAGGATACTACATCACTCCTCCGTTGTATACTAGGCCTGTCCTGATTCATAGGGATTTCTTTCGAAAAGATTTATCCAGGATATCCGGGGGCATAACGAAACATCCGCTTGATTTTTATGAGCTGATATTGCACTGGTATGTTCACTACTTATGAGGTTAAACTTTTCGCTAGGTTGTTAAATGCAGAATACTCGCCTTTTTCTCATTTGCAGGAAAAAATGTGGCCTTTTTTGCCATGTTTCCACTGTGGACAAATTTTAGCCTGACTTGTACATTACACAGACTCCTTTGTATGGTCAAATAATGGTACCCTGTATGATAGACTGTCTAGTTTGCAGCCAGACTTCAGCAATTACGAATTTCATTCAGATCCGGGAGAGAACCTGTTGATCAAAGTAATCGTGGAAAATCACGGCTGTTTTGTGTCGCAGCTAATACACAACGCCCTTGGCTAGTTCCCTGTCCAGTCACACACTGTTTGCAGCAAATCATTGGTAGCGCGAATCGTTTCTGTGACGTGACACGAAAGTGACGAAACAGCCGTCAGTTTTGTCCAAGTGGGACAAAATTTGTCCGGAGTGAAAAAACGGCAAAAAAGGCAACATTTTTTCTTTCGAACAAGCATACGTCAAGTTTTCAGCAATTAGCCTCCAAGCGGAAAGTTTACCCTGTAAGTAGTGAGCATACCGGTGCAATTTAGTTATGCAATTTAGGTATGCCAGCGGATATCCCGTATCAACTTTTCGAAAGAAATTCCTATGAATCGGGACAGGGCCCAGTATAAGACAGAGGAGTATTCGTTGGGCACTGTTTACGGGTCTAACATTTGCCATGCTTGCTCGAGGAGGTAACTGGTCACTTCAGCACCTTGTCAACTCGGCACCTACGAACTCGGCACCTCGTCAACTTGGCACCCACATTTTAAAATTAATATTGGACCTTAATTTCAAAAATGGGTTTCCTTCAATCTTCCCTTTTACATAAGACACTTGTTTCTTTATAATTTTCTTTATTGAATTAATTAGGTTACCATAATCCATGTGGATTATCCAATCTCCAAATCAACCAAAATTAACTAAGCACACGTACGGAATTAGAACTAATTGCTTCAGTTCGAGCACCGAGTCAGACAACGCAGACCGGAGGCAAAATTTGAGGTGCCGAGTCGGCTGGGTGCCGAGTTGACAAGTTGGTAGGTGCCAAGTTGGCAAGGTGTCGAAGTGACCGACATTCCTGGAGGGAGCCGGCAGGCTGGACAGTGCCAAGTGGTCAACTTTAACATGTTTAACAACATTGAACATGCCCCGCTGTGGGCGCTGCTCTCCCAGGGGTCAAGAACTTACCCTTTTCTGTTTCAGTTTGGAAGTTAAACATGTTGGAAGCTGAGGATTCCATCACACTCTGCCAAGCCAACAATTTGATTTGAAGCAGGGATGTTTTGTGAATTTTTTTGGTACATGTGTAATGTTGAGCGGACTGACTGTTCAAAGAAATGTGTGTGACTGAAAAAAGTAAAAAGCTTTAAATTCACATTTTTGTACTAATATCTTTGTTTTTAATTAGTACCTTATTTCAACGAGTTACATTCTGGCCCATAGATTTTGCACAGTCGGAAAAATTTTTTTGTTTGGCAGCAGGCAGCATGATTGGAATTTGATCAGTTACACTTGATCAGTTTTCAGCTCAAGAAATGATCGTGAGTGTCACTGGTGTCACATTAGGTTGTCCTTGTGTGGAGAAGCCAGTAGGTGATTTTGTCTAGGCTGTCATCATTTTGACACCTTTTGGGGGTTTGGTGCATAGTGACAGCAACATTCTGCTTAAAACAGGGTATTTTGCTGGGGCACATGTATGACCGTCACAGTCATCGTCATAAAAAGGAGTGGCATGCCCCAGTAACTGAGTCTAACCCAAATGTATACAGGCTTCTCAAGACAAATTGGATTAAATTTATGTATTCCCCTTGTAGTACCTGTCCAACTGCGTCGTTGGTGCATCACTCGAGGAAATCGAGGAAGAAGAGGAGGACAGTGCCTCAGTCAAGAGTGATGTGGTGGGCCCACCCAAGGAGGGTACCTACCACATCATTGGCTCCCTCAAGAACCCTAACAAGCCCAAGCCTGCTTGGGTGCAGGAAATCGTCAGTGTGAGTTTAGGACCAGACTTTAGGCCTGAAGCAGACTGAGATATCAAATGCATGAAAACGTGTAGAAACAAAATAAGGCTAAATTAATTGACATCTTTAGCCAACAAACTTCTTTGAAATTTTTGGCAGGCAGATAGAAGGCCCAGGCCTGCTTTGGTCCATGAAATTGTCTACATGAGTTTTGTGTGGAAGTGATTGAAAAGGACTAAACTCAAACCGGGAGTGAAGAAAAATACGCAATATCAAGCCAACTTTACTCACTCAATTAGCCGACCAAATTTTCCCAGGTATTTGTCAGGTGACAAGAATGAAGCTGTTTAGCCCTGTTCGCGCTTAACTTTTTGGGGGCAAACTTACCGAGACGATGGGTACTTTGCCTATTTTAAGTCCAGTGCGGACGTGCCCAGAAGACTTCCTCTCGGTTACTTTTTCCAAGCCACGCAAGAATTTTTACCGGCCAACTTCTGGCCAGAAAGCATTCCCGAGACACTTTTCCCAAGACAGAAAGTCCAGTGTGGACCGTGTAAGTCGGTAAAGGTGACTCAGGGAAGCGTACATCCGGTTTACTGGCAAGGTCAAGCTCACATGAACCCCGCACATGTGCGTTGCAAGTGTCCATGTGACGTACATACATGTACACACCGCGAAGTTTAATTCTGATTGCTGTGTAGTGATTTCGTGTTCTCCAGTCTCTCGAATGGTGGCAGATATTATTACTGAAACAATCGGAAGTTTAATTGGGACCACCAATGTATCATTGGAAGAACTGTCATGACCGGAAGTATGTAAAAGGTGCGCGCGTGCTTGGGTCAAAGGGTGAACACGAAAGGTCACGCAAAGCGCCCTCATGTGCCATGATAGTGATAGCTCAGTTACTTGTCTCGGTAAAAATCCCTGCATTGAAAGTCCAAGTGTGGACGGTGGTAAAATTTGCCCATTTTTCAATTTCCCATCGGCTCGGAAAATAAAGTCCAGTGCGGACAGGGCATAGGATTTCAGTTTGAAGCTTGAATTTAGATTGGTACATGCCCAAGAATATCCAGGTTTGCTTACAAAATGAAATGAAATTATTTTGTCTCGGACTTATAATAACTTTGGTTTTTTGTTTCAGTTTCCAGAGAAGGAACAAATGTTGGAACATCTTGCTGAATGTGATGTCGTAATGTATGATATCAATGAGGATCCTGGTCAGATTGACGAAGCCTCTTGGGCTGTGTCAGGTAATTCACACAGCCTCCTCCCCCCCCATCCTACCACCACCGTCTATTTAGATTTGCCCCTAACCCCATTTTAAGAATTAGATGTTCAGACTTTTAATGTCAGTGCTGTATATGCAGATTCAGCAATCATTTACGCAAGCAATTTAGATCTTGGTCTCCAGAGTGTGACCAATTGATGGAATACTACCTAAAGAAAGCCGATAGCTATTTACCAATCAGAAGCCTTTTCACATTTTTGACCAGTAGCTCTTATTAGCTGGCACACAAGGTTAGAGAAAATGTCCATACCGTACACAAGCGGCACATTCAAGGTCTGACTGTTTTCAGAAAGAGATGAGTTAGTGATCAAAGCCATTGTTGGAAAAGAAATCAATTCAAAGGACATACTTTTCTCCATATCTGAATGTCATTTTCCATTTGAAATGGAACCTTTTTGCTGTCAAAATCTCTTTATTTCTTCTTTTGTTTTGGGGGTTTGGGTGTCTGTTTTTTTACAAAATCAAAGTTTCCAAATATAATTATAGTACTGTTACTTGTATTCACAGCTTTGCATGCAGAGTTGGAGCGTTTTGAATCACCCAAGATGTTTATCTTGGTCTCATCCATTATGACGTGGGCCAGAAGTAAACCCGTTGATCCAGTAAGTGTAGCACTGTTGGTTGAATGAGCTGGGATTTGCTTGCTTGACCAAGAGAAGTGTGTCATGCATACACGGGCTACCGGCGAGTGATTGCCATCTGTTAACCTTCCTTGTCTAAAAATCTCAAAATCGCTTCAAGTTTGGTGTCCTCCTATTGGCCCATAGACTATGCATACGCGCATAGCCACAATCATGGGTAAACCTGTGTTTGGTGCTGGTCCATATCGTGCACATCATTTACAAAAGTAAAGTGTAATCGTTTGGTGAGGTTACGCATAAATCAGTCATGCAGTTTAGAATAAAAATTGTTTTAAATTTGGCAAATCCTTATTTTGCAAAAAGCGATTATGCATTGCTGGGTGGTTCACAACAATGTCTTGGTAACGAGAAGTGTACCCATATGACCGTGGGCGTGCAGATGCATTCAACAAAACCCTAGGGAGTAACTCAAAATGTATTGTCCATTGCTTCTCAGAACCCTTCTGTTATGCTTCACTGCACTGTGCATGAAAGCTGGTGTCACATGACCACAACACACAATATGGTTAACAAATGTCACATGGTCTGAAGGGCTTTCATTAAAATTGTGCGAGGAAGCCCCCCTTCCAAAAGAATGGTTTACTACCGTCATTTTTAACTGATATAGACTGCAAGTGCAGGAATATTAGAACTACATTCCTGTGTCGTGTCTTTCGTTTGAATGACTTAATTGATGTTAATCTGTCTCATACGGTGTGTCTACAGCCCTGAAGCTTGAGGTCTAATTCAAAGAATGTTGTACGTACAGTGTTTTGAGCTCAGCATGAGTAGGTTGGTAGACTCTCTGCACATTGGAGTCATCCCATATTGACAAAATTCTGAGCCTCTCCTGCGGAATTGCTGTTTCAGTCTTTTTCCCCCTTTGGTCCATCGATAGGACGACCCGGAGATCCCATTCACTGAGGAGGATTACAGACGGCGTAAGCCACACTCTAACTTCAAGGCGCACATCAGCGCTGAGAAGCTGGTCATCAAGCTAGGGAAGACAGTGAGTATACCCAAAAATTCATTCAATTTGTGCCCAGTTGGTTGAGGGCCCTGTCTGCTCCGAGCGGGAACAAAAATGGTCGTGTTTTTAAATAAATTTGACAGTCCTTTGGTTTAGTACGAACTCACCGCATAGGTGCCTAAGTTTATGCATATTAGACATGGAGCATACTGAGTACATGCAATGAATTTATTCTGGAATGTACAGTCTCTGTGTGCACGCTGAATGCGTGCAAGAACCGGGTCGGAAAACTTCGTACCAGTCTGTCTTTCTTTGGCAGGTGAGGGTGCACTTCAACTCAAGGCAGATAGCATGTATTCCTGATTTTGAATATCTGTGACCCTTATAATTTTTTTTTTTAATTTATATTGTGAAGCTCCATAATGCACCCTGCACATCATGTATTATGACAGAGCATTGTAATTCCATTGTTCCCTTCATTCCTTTTAAACAAGACTCTACTATTAGTCAGAGTGTGGACATGTATGTCAGAGGACCATTTTCAAGGAGCCAGTTCGATATTCCATCAGCATGTGCCCAAAACGAAGCATGTCCGAGGTCATTTGGGAACAGCAGTACCCGCACTTGAGGCCTGTCCTTTCAGCATGGCCATACAATGACTGACACATGCGTTATGTTCGTGAGTGACTCTCTCAGACAAGAATCATCCATTTGTCTTTTCATCATGCATCTGTTCTCAATCTGAATGTGATGTTTGAGGCACTATAAATGAGGGAATTCATGGGTAGCACAGCGTACACGAGGAAAATCGTTCTTTTCTTAATGGTTTTTAACCCACAAGTGACATTACAGTCTCCAAGAAAACATGCTTGTTTCGGTCTTGCTGATTCTGTTTAACGTGTCTGGAATTTTTTTTTTCTCTTACAGAACAAGGCCAAGTTTGTAACTTATGTTATTGCCTCAGGGCTGACCTACGGTGGGGGAGAAAATATCTTCCATTACTTATACAAGGTGGGGAAGATAATCCTGACTTGCACATGTTGCGCACTCCTGATTTAACTTTAATTAGATTGAATATCCTGATGCCAAACAAAATAATGAAATAAAATATTGAACTAACAGTGTCGTCAGAATTCAGACTTAATATAATAGTTGTTCATAATTGTGGTATTATTGTTAGAATAAAGATTAGTTGTTTAGTGAGTTATTTCTCATTTGTGGTGAGAACTAATGTGTTTTGTATCAAGAGGATCAACAGATTGATATGGAGACATGAATTTATCTGTGGAAAGCTGAAATTTTTACTAACTGGTAACAATTCTTAATGCATGCATCTCAGTACTTCAGGAATTTTATATGATTCTAAGAGAAGATATATTGTTCTAAAAGACAAAAATATGAAAAAAAAAATTAAATGGTAGGAATGATGCTACTACTTTCAAGTACTTTTTTTCCCAAGTTGCACACCATCATTTCGGTTTACAAGTTCTGAGCTTAAATATTGAATATTCCACTGTGGTTTTCTTGTCCCTAGGCTGCCTGGCATGGAGAAATCGAAGCACTCCAGTGCTTTGGTAACGGGATGAATATCCTGCCCACAATCCATGTCAAAGATCTCGCTGGGTGAGTACAGCATTTTCCATCAGTGTGGAGTGAGTTCGCCCCATGAGACAGACAGTTAAAGTACCCTTGGAAGCTGTACATTACCAAAGGAAAGGCAGTCTCAGTGCCCTAAATATTTGAGGATTTCACTTATTTCTTGGAGAGGAAAAAGGAAACATCAGTATTAGACACTATCGACAATGATAAATCGGTGTTTGTATTAGAAAGAAGGCTTGGAATTGCCTGAACTTAATGACATCTGAACACTATGACTTCATGACGTAGAATTCTGTCCAGACAGGTAAAGGAATATTGAATTAAAAACAACACTACCAAATAAGTTATCCAGAAAGGGGGTCTTGAATACAACTAATTCGTAAAACAAGGACAGCAGACAAAATTACATCCAAATTGACATTTAAAGATTATTTTATACAATATCGAAATGCAAAATGAAAACATAGAACATGTGGTGTTCCCACTAGGACCTCACCTATACCTATATGATTCATTGACTTGGGAACAAGTCATTCTAGTTGAGGACATGGATGGAACACGGCTTTTCCAACAAGGATCAAGCTGTACTCCAAAAATGGATATGAAGCCAAAAAATCAGAATATACCGGAAGTTCTGCGTACTTTCTTGCTGAGTGTTTTTCTGACAGAAAGGTTTGAAAATATCTCCCCCTTTTCTTTGTAGCGTCATCCAAAACATTGCTGATGGAAGACCTAAGACTAGATACTTACTGGCTGTGGATGATTCCCAGAATTCCCTTGAGGAGATTGTTAAGGTAGCTAACATCATTAATTTGAGTGATCACACATAATAACATTCCTCAACCTGAATCAAAAGTAGACATCAATGTTACCAACATTTCTTTCACCATCTGTATCTTCAGAAGTGTTGCATATTCATTTTTAATTCTATTGCTTGTAAAACAACAACGAGGGCTGTGTGTAAGGCAAACACAAGGTTAATAATTGGCCAAGTGAGTTTTAGGCGATGGATAGTTTTTGTCTCAGCTTTGGGTCTTGTCAACATTGTTTAAAGAATAAGTCTTCTGGAGAAAAATGAACTGCATTTTTTGTTTCTTCTGCGCAGTGCATAAGCAGTAATCTTGGTAACGGTAAAGTGAAGCACATCACCAAGGAGGATGCATTACTCAGCAAGGGTCTGTCTGTGAGTATGAGGTTGAATTTCTACAGCTCTTCTGGGACATATTCAGGAGAAATTCTGTCTGTAGGCCATATATGTTGTTTGCTGTTTATGTTGTTCTTTTAAAGGCAACCAAAAGCATCAATGCTACTGTCTGTTGGTTGCAAAATTAGCAGATTGGAGATTGAAAATTTTTGCATGTCAACATAATGAATGGCCTTAAGTTACCACAATGTGATACTCTCCAACTGACAGTAACATTTATATGTTAGTATCTGTAATCAGTTTTACAGTAGAATTTTTCACAATTTTTATTGAGAAGTGAGCTGGAAAGAAAGACCCAGTTTATACTTAACTGTCAATTTTGTTTATGTTAATTTCTTTGTAATGAAATATATTTTCATGTGATTTGTCAGATATGGGCTGTAGCTTCAAGCAGAGAAGTAGAAAACTTTCTTTGTTTTCTCTTCTAACCAACTTGTGTGTTCGATTTGTCTCCCAGCATTTTCACTTGGATCTATTGTCACACTAAATTGAACAAGCAAAGTCGAGAAAGTTTCCCTCAGTCCTTGTCAAGATGTTTACACCCCTTTGAAATTACCCTGTCCCTTGATTTACATGCTGTTTTGGTTGATAATTTTGGCACCAGCAACAAGACTTTGACATGCTGCTGACCAGCCTGCGGATGGACGGCGTCTACATCAAGGAGAACATGAACATCCGCTGGGTGTCAGAGCGAGGCATCATTGAGAACGTCCACCAGATCATCCAGGAGTTCAAGGCCACCAGGGGCCTCCTGGTAAGTGCTTGGCTAAGAGAGTTGAGGGTTGTAATACATCACTCTGGGTCTGCGGACTGCATGTATGTGCATGTTTGACTTCACCATACAGGTCAGACACACAAAGGGAAACAGTTTTCCTGACCATAGAGTTCAGTTCTCTGTTCAGCTGTGTCTTCTGTGGTAAGTTGTGCTCAGTTAATGAGAGAGGGTGTACGTATATTATAGGGGCACGACGGCGCGGGTCTGCTTTTTTACTGTGCAAGGCTAGGAGGGAGTAAGTCCTGTGGCTGCAGGAAAGTGCGGTGTTAAACCCTCTCACCTCTCTCTCCTATCTTGTCTTCACCGAAAACGATGGACTGCCGATATTATAAGCACAGTGAGGAGCAATGCCTTGTTCTCTGTTGCATAGTAAAAGATCACTGTTGGAACAAGAGAATGGTTCATAATGAGAGTGTGTGACAGCTTTACTGGTTCGTGTATACTGTTTATGGAATTCGTGTGCAGCAGGCTACAGAAGACAAACCAAATGACCATCAAGGGTCAGCATTCATAAAGTCCAACTTTGTTTACGACTTTGGCTATGGAATAATCTTGTAATTTTAGAAGCCCATAGTTTGTGCCCAAAAATATAGTGCCTGGGCAAGTCTGTTCGTTTGTAAATCAGTCATTTTTGCTGGAAAATTGTGGAGTCTAGCAAAGTGCAGTTCTCTTCAGTAAATCAATAGCATACCCATTGTGTAACGCAGCAAAGGTAGATTGATAGCAGTTGGGTATCAATCACTGCATCAAAATGGATGCATCTGTGGTGCGGATTTTGGAGAAATTGAGGATAGTTTGGCTGAGAAGGGTTTTGGCATGCTGTGGTCTAGAACAAACAAACCAGACCATCCTTTTTCCCTTAAAAGGTAATGACCGTTACCTGACTAAGGACATTTGTGTCTTACGACAACAAACATCACAAGTTTATACCGCCCCATTTTGGTTTAATATTTTTCTGCATTGGGCACATTTTATTAATGGGAAAAGAAGGTAATCTTGATCTAATTTGTATTACCAGTTTAATATGTTTCCTTGCAACCCTGTTCTTGTGACTAAAGATATGTTTATTTTTTCCAGCCGATGCGAGGCTGCGTGCTTGGGCCCCCAGCTGTTGGCAAAACCTGCGTAGTGGCAGCCCTCTGTAAGCACTACAAGCTACACCACATCAAGATCAAAGATGTCATTGATGAAGCAATTGAGGCACTGGTAAGTGTATATCTGGACCAGCCAACTCGGTTATGCAGATCACACGAATTTCTTGAATTTCATATCGTAACAAAAATGGGAGATCTGGGCTTATAAATTTTTTGTACATGTAGTGTAATTTGTTTAAGGACAAGTCACATTTCAATAAAAAATGTCATTTTCTTTTTACTTCCGTAAAAGTAACAGTGGCTGGGCTCTATCTCCTAATCTCAGTTTTGCAAAATCCCCCGACAGATTTTGTAGTTTCTCAGAGGTTTAGGGTTTATCTTAAATGTTGATAATTATGAGTCCTGTGGGGTTGAATGCCACCCTGGAAAGCTTGTTATGTTCTTCTTATAAACTCTAAAAAAGCCACTGAGTGTAAAATGCTCATAAGATTACTTCACAGAAGGGTAAAACTAAAACTAAAGAGTCTTGTTGAACCCCTTCAGGGGGGGGGGTATATTTTGACCGCGACTGCTGGGCTGTGGCATGCCATGAATGGAGGCATTTGTCCAGCAGCAGGCCCCATTGAACCAGCAGCTGCATGGTGAATAGACTGTCCGTGTGGTATGCACTAATGCTCACACAAAGGTGCTGTAGTAGCAGTCATCCCTAGGGAAGGGGTTAAGCCAAGTCCATTATTTGCCTCATTTTAGGCATGCATGCATTAGTTCAAATGGGACTCAAAGAATATTGATGCAGTTATATGAGACAGTTATGTTTGCTGGGAGCCAGCATCTCAAAAGTCTCCAGTTACATTCAAAGCTGCATTTCCTCAAGACGTAAATCAATCTCCCTCCTCAACAACAGGAAAAGAGTGCAGCCCGGGCTGATGCTGACGAGAATGAAGACGATGATGGCAAGGCTCAGGAGGACCAAGAGCTGTTGGAAGCCATCATGGAGAGCAAGGAATCTAACAACGGTAGGTCAAGGAGAACCATGTAGGAATGGTAGAGGGTGCTGCATGACATGTTCACCATTTCTCCAAATCTCAGATTTGATGGGTCTTTGGCCGCACCGAGTGCTGGAGGCCAATTCTGTCAACAAATTGGTGGAAGAAAGGGGTGCCCTCGACATAACAGGCAGTTATTTAATGTTATTTAATGACATTTTTAACACTCTCTTCTTGTTTTGGGGACCCCTTGTCAGGCCGCATTGAGGACCAGTACATCCTTCGCTTCTACCGGGACAAACTGCATTCCATGCCCTGCCAGAACCAAGGCTTTATCCTGGACGGCTTCCCCAAGACAATGGAGCAGGCTAAGGAACTGTTTGCTGGTAAGTGACAACTGCTAAGAGATTCATTTCCCTGTATTCTGTTTTTACCCTCAAATCAGTGAGCCATACATCTCTGAAATTTTACTGACATTCCTTGGGATCATGTAGGACCATCTCTTTTCTGCCTGGTATGATTTGTCAGCACTGTGACTGATATCAACCACTCACTTTCCTATTCTGCCACAAGTACAAAGCAATTTCTTGGTAGCAGAAATCATTGGGGTGAAGTGGCTTACTCAAGGACATAACCACTTGATCTGCTAACGAGGCTGAAACCTGCATTTGGAATAAGTATGTATGTAATAAGTAAATGCACTGCATTTAAACACCTGAAGACAGAGGGGCCCAAGTAATATGTTGGGCGACAGGAATCAAGTGCAACTTGTTTCTACTGACACAAAAAATCCTTACATGAGAAAGAGGCCTGACTCTTTCCTAACAGTACAGTCTTTTTATATGTAAAAAGTTCCAACCAAAACTTTGAAGGCATGCTGGTCTTCCTCAAAAATATTCAGATCACAGTACGATTTTTGAGGAGAAATAAAGCACTCGATGCATTTGTTTTCTTTCTGACTGTCAGCCGAGGACGAAGAGGAGCAGGATGAGAACAGCAAAGTGCCCGTCTACGACAAGACCACCATGCCCGAGATGGTGGTCTCCCTGGAGGCACCAGACGACTTCTTGAAGCAACGGGTCATGAACCTGCCCGAGAGCACGGTGGCGGGCACCCACAACAACGAGGAAGGCTTGCTGCGGCGACTGACCGAGTTCCGAGCGGTGAATGAGGAGGACACCACCGTGCTCAACTACTTTGATGAGTTGGAGATTCACCCAGAGCACGTCGGTGAGTAACACCTCAGTGGAGTTTGTACTTGGGAGTGAAGAGAGATCAACAAAGCAGTTTTCGAACCTGTGACCTTTGGATTATTGTTAGAGGCCAGTGTACCCACTGAGCTTCTCCGTCCCTGTGACGGGACTCTCAGAATTTGATGCCTGCAAACATACAAAGGTACTTTTTGGCCGGATATGGCTGCCTGCATCAGTGTCTGTCTTTGCAGTAGTCAGTCCAGAACTGGCATGTGATAAAGACTGGAGCTGAACTGTTCACACTCAGTTTTGCCTAATACATAAAGCACATAACCAATCACAAAAATCATAAATGGATTTCATGAGGGAAAACATTCTTCCAATACCTGCTTCTGTTACCCATCACCTCCAGATTTGTTTGGAACAAAACCCAATTTTTTTTATGCACTTTAATTTTTGGGTGATGGAAAATCACACTTTTTGATATTTAATTTTCAGAAACAAAGATTCCATAGTAAACTTAGCCACGCTGCACTGTATTCACCCTATGCTACTCATTTACCCAACCTTGGCTGCTACAGATTAGACAAATGCTTCACAATTTTTAGGTCTGTTTTGAATGAGAGAATTGCAGTTTTCAAGGAAGTGTGATGCTTAGAAAGAACTACTATTGAGCACTTGACCCATTTTCATGGCTGTGCTGACTGTGGCATTCTGCCAGCCATTGTGTGCTTGCAGTTGTGACCTTGTCAGCATTGAATCCTTGCGGGATCTACACGTAAGCACAAGGAAAAATTCCTTATTTATTTTTTAAAAATATGCTGCAGTAGTCAGTGAAACTCTGTCACTTACAGCATTGAGCCCAGGCCATAATAAGCCCACCTTCCTTCTTAACACAGATGTGACCAAGGAGGTGGACCCCAACAATGCCACCATCGTGGAGCAGGTCACCAAGATCATGGGTGAGCCACGCAACTACGGCCCCACCCCTGAGGAGGTGGAAGAGATGGAGCGTATAGATACGGAGAAGCGGCTGAAGAAGGAGCAGGAGGAGAAGGAGGAGCGTGAAAGGCAGGAGGCTGAGGAGGCCGCTCTCAGGGAACAGCGGGAGAAGGAATGGGTGAGGGAAGTGGCATTGCAGTTGGCTGTGGTGGTTGCTGAGTGCCTCTCATTTAAGGGTATTTTTCACTGGTCACCACAAGGGTATAAGCCATTTGAACAGTAGCAAGGAAGTGCCTTCCAGCTCACGTCTAACTAGCTTGCGGCACACATTGAGACTGTAGCGCTTCCTACGCCTAGTGAAGCCTTTTAATTAAATGTGAACCAGTTGTGAGTGCTTGTGAAACACTCTACTACAGCACTGATGGTCTAGGGCCTGGGATCCTATGATACTATGATCCCATGATCCTATGATCTTTGTTTGGAGACTAGAATGATTCTTCATCTGAAAAGCATTGGTTCTATTCAGTTCAAAGCTATTTGGAGTCACTAGCACATCAAGGTGATACTTACACCAGACAGCTATTTTATTTCAACCTGTAACGTGAAGTAGATGGGCCAAGTAAGCTGGAGTCATTATCAGCAAAACAGTGAAGGGACTGATCTACACACTTGTTCCACTTTGGTCAGAGAAAATTTATGAATGGGATTTTGGACCTGCGGCACCTGAAAATCATACAAGGACTCTTGCAACTTGGCTATCTAGCCATCTAGTTTTGTGATGAGTGATACCTGAACTCAGAGGCTCTCTCTCTTGTTCTCCCCCCCCCCCCAGGCTGAGAGACTGGAGGAGGTCAAACGCCAAGAGACAGAGCAGCTGGAGAATCAATCCATCCCGCTGCGCAACTACCTGATGAAGCATGTCATGCCGTCACTCACCCAGGGCCTGATAGAGTGCTGCAAAGCACGGCCAGATGATGCCATTGATTTCCTGGTAAAAAGCTCCTTTCATTTTCTCCTTCAGTCTCACTTATTACAAAAAAGAGAGATTCCCATTTGTGTAGTGTGAACCTGGCCTAAGCACAAAGTTCTTTAAGTTTAAGGTATAAAAGAGTTCAGGCCCGCAAGCTGACGTGGATAAATATTCAAAAAGAAGAGGTAGTTTTAAAGACAAGGTCACTGTCTATTGACATTTTTAATTTCTATTGCACCTAGATTAGTTTCAATAGATCTGCCACACTTGAAAAAAAAGGACATAGTACAATGCAGGAACAAACAAAAATTATTTTAGGGTCTTAAGAAATTCCTGTTCAGGAAGCAGGTGTTTGTAAAATGAAACAGAAAACACAACAAAATCACACATTGATTGACTGCTGACAACACAAGTAAATGATCAAAGTTAGGAAGGGGACTCATGGTTGAACATGAGACAGCTCTCTTGCCAGTTCCTAACTTTGTATTGACCTGGGTCCTGCTAGTTCTGAAGTGTATTATGTCTCTTCCTCTCAGTGCGCATTTCCATATTTTCTTCCCCAGTCGTGTTCAGTTTCTTACTTTCCCCATACTTGCACAGGCGGAGTATCTCTTCAGGAACAACCCACAGGTAGACTAACTCCTGTTGTCATCAGACGTGTTTGTTGCAAGTGGTCCAATCTGTTACAGCCAACAAGGATGGGAGGAGTTCCCTGTCATGTCTCCATTGCCTGGCCCAACCAATCGTTCAAATGTTACAGGAGTCGATTTTTTTATTTTGGAAAAAAAATTTTAACATTGAAATAGTCCAGGATTACTCTATGAAATGTCAGGATGATGTTGTCTTATTAGTATAGTTTTTTGAATTTATTTTCTTGTCATTTAACTGTTGGCACTGTTAACTGCCCTGGAAAGTAATCTCAAGATTTCCTTTAAGGCACAAATTGTAAGACAGTCTCGGAGTCAGCACTGAAGGCGGCCTTTTCTCTTATTAAGGAACTGTGGGGGAATTAATTTAATGTACATTTTCTGCTGACTTGTACCTTTAATTGAACAGAAGATGATGTTGCTCTTCTTGTATATACGATGTATATAAAAAGCAGTTGTGCGTCGGTTTCAAGTGTTGATCCGTCCAGAGTTCAGAACTGATTGTAGTGAATACTTCAAGTAGATTGTAAACAAGCATCTGTTATTTTCTGGGTTTTATGTAAAGTGAAAATTGTAGATTTCAAAGTAAAAACTTGCTCAGAATTCATCATCCGTCCAGTTCATCCATCCTGTACTCTGTACTGGTTTCTACTAGTGAAAGTCTCAACTGTTTAAAAGCCCTTGTTTAATTAATCACTTTTACGCTGGGCAAAATTTTATTTTGATAACAAGTAAATGTGATCAGTAAGAGTTTTCAGCCGTCCAGATACATTTATTTGAAGATAACTTGGTAATCGGGGTGTTTGATATAATTTTTGTAAGACCTTGTTCAATAAAATTTCGTTTCTTGTGACATGAAAAGGATGTATCTGTCATCATTTAAAAGCTGTCGGTTGTTTAGGCTCCTCTAAAAAGTAGCGGTACTTCAAGTCACTTACAAATAACGGGACATTACATAATGGTTCACTGACAAGATGACCAATATGCCTTTTGCCAATTAAATTTGAATCTGATACACTGAGATATTTGTTTGGAAATAAAGATAACAGTTTGAATTCCCCAGACTAAAGGAACTATTGCTAGACCTCGTGATTCGGGGCAAGCTTTAGCATAGCGACTACCATCTTAGGAATGGACTGGTTTCTTTGTGCTCATCTTATCCATTGAAAACGATGTATTGATGAAGGTGTCTCTTGTGTAATTAAGCAAAAGCTTTCCCCGAATCACGAGGTATAGATACAGTGTTTTTAGTACGGTGAATTCAAATTGTTATGTTCTTGTGAATTTAAAGAACTCAATGTACCAGATTTTATTCAAATTTAACTCGCAAAAGGCTTATTCACAACAGTTTCTTCAAAATTGGGGGTCACATCCACAAAACCAAAGTTGTGACCAACACATCCCTCAGTCTCAAAGTTCAACCGCTGGTAGTTTAGCAACAAACCATGTCTTAATTATAATTGACATTAAATCACGGACTTAAGCGTCGTAAACACAGGGCTACAGTTACCGTGACCATTAACAAAATGACACTAATTTGCCAAACCTTGGAAAATGTTCAGTGCAAGTTCCGTTTGACAATTCTTCCCATCGCTATTTCTTAAAAGACCATAGAATTTCGGCGGGGAGCTAAGACTATAAACACAAAACAAATCTCAGTGTTGGTGAATGGAAATAGAAATTCTTAAAAAGGAATATCAGTGATTGCTAAGATGTGCAGAAACACACGACATATGCATTTAGATTAATAAAATTCACTTTAAGTGCAATCGATAGTGTTTGAAAGAGGTACTCATAAAGAGAAAAACTGCTCAGTTACTCAGTGCACCATTTACAGCACATCTCCCAACTGTATAGGTTTAGCCAACACCCTGTAGCTTGGGCGTTAACTTGTCCACTGGCGAATTGCGCTGTCTTGTCCCCGACCCCCCTTAATTTCTTAACGGTGCGGGCTCCGTTGAACCACTTCAACTGCTGCTGCCTGAGCAACCGATGGAGCGCCCTCTAATCCGACTGGGACTAATAAGCCGCAATTGAACTTTCGACCAATCAAATCGAATATCTTTACACAAGCCCAACTTGTACCCTAACCTCAGAAATTTCACGCTAGTAATAGGCCTACTACTTCCCTGCTCATTGGTAACCCTGTTATTCTTATTTGTTAGCTCATCAAACTGCATGCTAGGAATTGCTATCATGTACACGACGGTGGCTTTGCTAGGTCATTTTGACTTGGGAATGCAAAAAAGGCACTCAAATTCGGTGCTGAAAGTACTAGGTAGGCAGGGTTTTCACCAGTCACTTGACCTCCTTAAAAAAAAATCGAAAATCAAAAGGGGGTGGGGGTCGTCAATGGAGTCGGGTTGTCTTATTCGAAAATTTGGGCGCCTGGTAACAAATTTGAGGTCTTAATCCGGCCTGGCTCGGCTCGTCACCACGATTTGTGGTGGCGCTGTTCAAAGCGGAGAGTATTGGATTGTAAGTGGAGTCCTTCATGGCCACATAGTTTCTGATGTTTATGATGTTAAAATGAATACCTCCATTGCCCCTCTCTCGGATACTACACCACTGCGTTTCTCCATACAGATCACAAAAACAAACGTATAAGCTGATATTATACATATTATAAACTATCCTACTTTTATCAACGTGCTCATGGTATCCAAGGGCGGATCCACAACCCACTTTTTAGGGGTGGGAAGTTTTTTTGGGGGTGTGTGTGTGTAAAATATGGACATTTCTTTACTTAGCCTTTTACGGCATTTCTGAACTGTGAAGCTAAATTTGAGACTTTGCACAGGCTTTTAGGGTGAAGGAAGTATAGGAGTGTATTAGTGGGGAAAACTCGCCCCTTCATTGCCCCCTGAATGCCGGGGGACGGTTCTTGTTACTCCCACCTCCACGAACACGCCTTGGGAATGGTGGTCTTCATTGAGATAGGCTCCAAGTTTCTAAAACACGTCCTTGTTTTTACATTTCAAGATTTTTTTTATTTCAAACACGTTGTCTGTCAGTACTCTTCCACATAATCTGCAATTCATCGAGCAATATTGACAATGACTCACTCCTGCCACTCTTTTATCAAATTGATGTTCTAGATTGTCCTCCCCCACGGGGGGAGGGGGTCGAGTAAGAATTCTGCCACCTTTGGGTTGTAGAAAATGACATTGTTGGCAACATCTGAATTTAAGGCTACAATATAAGCAAAAACAGAGAGATAAACAAACGTCCTCTTTTTCCTCTCTTTTTGAGTGGATTCACTCACTCTACAAATTTTAATAAATTGCAAAGGATATTTAAATCTCAATGCGAAAGATAAACAGTCCGGATCGTTACAATATCTACAAAAATACACAACAATGTACATGAATTGCAATTGTAGGGCCGTTCTCAACACACTGTGTTGGAGGTCCTGTTCAAAGTGATCCACTTTAAATGCAAGCCTACTTTCACATGAAAACGGGGAATGAATATAAATATATCTCCACATTCATGTACCACAGAAAGATATTGCACGATAATTCAATTACTGTCTGTCAACAAAGTGAAATATGAAGTTTGTGGTGGACTCTCCTGTCAGGCTATCGGACAGACACATGGCAACTATATATATTCATCTCTACTTAAGGGCAAAGGACGTTAAAAAATAAGTTACAGATTCAACAATTTTTGATCACGTTAAGTTATAAAGACCCTCTCATTACTTGTGTACACAACATTACTCGTTTTATCTATTAGGCTTTGCAGATTGGTACGGCTTCTTTCTCACAGGCTTCTCTTACAGGCCCAATTTTAAAAAAAGTAATGGGAAACATCTTTTGATAAATATTCCTGTTTAAGGAGCATGGGGGGCGGAGAAAACGCTGCTGTTTATTCGCATGAGAAGAGGTTGGCTGTCATGACTGTAGGTACCAAGAAATACAAACAGAAGATAATTTTCAACAAAAAGTAATTACTCAAGAAAGTAATTACGCAAGAAATAACGCTTCACTGACGTGACTCATTGGGCATTTCAATAATCAATGTTAACAAAATAAATTTAAACAAGACGGGAGCAGAGGGCTGCGTCGTTTACTCAGAAATGTTGGTGTTTATTGAACAATTGATTGCCAAGTGCCTCTTTCCTCTCAAAGAATGGGCCTATTTCAGTTTTTCAAATGGCTAGTTTTAATTCACAAAATATACAATGGTGTTTGAAAAATTACCTGACGTACAGTGGGGGATAAAAAAGCAATGTATTACTTTGTTTACCGTCCCCTAGAAGCTAGAGAAATACATGTAGTATTTTCTGGCATGAGGTTTGTGCGGACTTTACCCCGAAAGAAGAAATACGAGATCAACTGACCGCGTGTGACCTATGCTGACGACGTTGCTTCGTAAGCGAGAGTTCACAGCCGTGCTGTATGTATGGAACAACCCGCAAGGGATGAGGAATATCATAGGCAAGCCAAACACCGAGTCGGCCAAATTATATCCCCGAATTCTGGTAGATCACATAGTCTGGGGATCGAGTTACTAAGACAACGTCAAAGCAGACTTTTATTGCTGGGAATTCCGATCGGTGACTTGAGCTGAGGTGGAAGGGCCCGAACGAAAGATAGATTACCAGGGTGGTGCCAATGTTTCGTTCATGGAAACGCGTCCACTTAATTTGCTCGGCTTGTTTTACCATTCCGCGTGCCTCACCTTACAGGAAAAGGTACATTACTGTCATTTTAAGTGATGCTTGCCCTTTCTTTTAATTAGTTTTCTCTTTACTCATTACAACCATTGTTCGACGATCCACGAAGAAGTAACGGGTGAAAATTAGAACATTGCCAGGATAAATGGCACAATTTGTGTATTATGCTACAGACTTGTGTGATGAATCACACAAAAACGTAAAGAAGAACAAAAAGGCGGAACCATTCATATTGTGTCAGTTATGTCAGCCAGTGGATTAGAATGTTCCAAGTTATTCCGAGTGATTTGATGAGAAGAGGCTTCGTTGGGGAAGCAAAACAAACATCACAAAGCCAGACAGGCGTGCAAAACGCAGACGCAAGGAAAAAAATACGGGGAAAAAAAAGAAAAACTACGACAACGAAAAAATGGTGAAACAGTATCGACGACAAAAGTGCGGAGAATCCTCTCAAACTTTTCCAATGAGCATTCAAATCAAAATCCTCGTACAAAAGCAGTGAATCACTTTCGCTAGTAGCGTCACGCCCACAACCAGCTTGCAGAATTGATCTCGTCCATGTATCAGACATCTGCTTTCCCGTTTCTCCGGCATGGCCAGGAAAACGGAAAGACAGTGACCTCCAATGAGATACCGGAGGTATTCGAGGTTACCCCCTGATTCAAGTCAATTAGGGGGGTTCTGTCGGCAGCTGGTATAAAACCGGAAAGCAATGTCACATCATGGCTGTTTCCTGATAAACGATAATGCTCTTCTGAACAAAAAAAGCCTTTCAAAATGCCACAGCAGACAGCTGCAGACAGAGGAGACACTGAAAAAGTAGTCAGACTCAACTACTGAAGTAGCGCTCTGCCCCTCCGAGATCCATAATAAACAACTGATTTAAAAATAGAAATGAAATCTAAGCGTAACCCGATTCTGCTTTTGTACACGTACACTTTTTCAACACTTGATAATCAAATGAGAGGTAGAAAGTTTTGTTTATGTAGGGAATGTTTGGAGAAAACGTCTAAAGTTATCTACTTTCCGGGGGTCAGTGAAGCGTGAGGCATGTAAGTAATACATTACAAATTCACAAATTTTCAAAATCAGTTTACGAACACTCTAAACAAGTTATCACAGTTAGAAGCTTGCTAGTTGAGTTTAGTATGTTGGCAACAGCAACTTTTTCCACAGCTGCTTGAAAAAAAAATCAAGGTTCTGAAGAAGCCTTAACAGAAAACTGTTTGAGAGTTGGTAGACTGGAGCATAGCTACAAACTAACCCCCCCCCCGAAGAACTGAACACTTTAATTTTTTTCAGCAATGCTAGATTTGTAGAGGTTATAATAAATCATACTAATAATATATTGCATTTAATACCGATAAGTGCTTCAACATACATTTTAGCTGCACTCAAAAGTTTAAATCCGTGCGCCTTCCTTGTTTTAATTATGGGTTTTGCCCTTACACTGACGTATCTGTGCTTGGTGTTGTGTGAGACCTCGCGAAAAGTATCACAGGCTTATGGCTGGTTCATATTTCAGGTGACTATGAAAATGAAGCGAATTTAATGTCACACAAAAAATGTGCGGCAAAATTTAGCCCGAGTTGAAACGTGTTCAACTTTTGCAAATTCACAGAGTGAATATTTGATCTGACGTCACAAATTCACATTTGTGTTCATATTTGTGCCAAACATGAACCGGCCTTTACTCCGGTGAGACTCGAACCCATGACCTCCCTGCTTACAGTGTTTCTTCAACTGAGTCTTAATGGATGTATCTATCTTAGAAAATACCTTGATTTGGGAAATTCCAGTTCCTTCTACCTAATAATCCGAATAAACCAACATTTTCATTTCAAAAGCCTAAGAACATTTATTTGTCTATCATTCAAGAAGCATACTATCTAACAAGAGTTTGGTTTTCTAGCATTAAAACCTTATGTTCCTTATTCATAAATACCGTTAACATTTGATAATGCCTGCTGCGTAAATCATGCACTGGTACTTAGGTACGAGATAGTTTAATCAATTCGGATTGGTCAAGTGTCTGTGTGCACACGGCTTGCCAAGTGTGCGCCAAAGTCCCTAGAAGGAAATTCTATTGGACAACTTGTAAAGGATTATACCATAAAATGGATGGGGGGTGTTCAGGAAAATGAAAGTAAATTCTAGAACAAAATCATTGAAAATCAATTATTATTGGCTTCTTTTGTTTCTCTGACTAAAAAAGTATTAATGAATGGGAATAAATATGTACTTGGCCGGTAACATTTAGGGCCGGTAACGTTTAAGACCAGCAAAGCATATAATTATTCCCTTATTCAATAATGTTTAACATTTTTTAACTGTGGTGTGAGATAAGGTCGTTTGTACACCTAAGAGATGCGTATTCATCCACCAAGAGGTTGAATAATCTCACCTGAGGTAATGTCTGTGAGATACTGTGTTCAGAATAACCTTGGGAGACACCATGACTATGGTGTCACAAGGCTCACATACATTTTGGCAAGTTGTAAGACTCTAAGAGGTCTTCCAAAGACACAAAATACCAAATAAAAATATGCCTTTTCTTTGGCACTTTTACATAACTGACACTTCTTCTGCGACGGTCTCAACAACTGGCTTACTCATAGTGTGCTGAATCAGTTTGGGTGTCACCCTGGAAGAAATTTTGGAGTCCAACTGACCAGTTTCCACGGCAACTGTTGAGGGAACAATGTCAGCATTGTTGTATAAGACATGCAAGTGCTGGAGCCCCCCAACCATACTGTTTGTCCTGCTGAGAGCCTCGGACACCCGGGAGTTTCGCCGGCCCTCGGTGCCTTGAGCCGACGACCGCGGACTCTTCTTTCCGCAGCAGAGAGTGCGGAAAAGCCGTCGGTAGGCGGCCTTGAAGTCCTGGTTCCGATAAGCATAGATCCACGGGTTAAGGCAACTGTTTGTGAAGATGAGAAAGACAGAGTATTGATGCAACGGAAGGGTCTCACTACAAACGTCACAGAAACGTTCCACAAGTAACGTTACAGAGAAAGTCACCCAGGTCAGGAAGAAGAATCCAAGAATGATCAGTAATGTCCGTGAGTACTTGGTGCCCTTGAACATGTGAAAGTTCTTGCTGAAGGAGTTGGGGAAAAGAGAAAGCTGAATGGCCGAGATGGCACGGGAGTGGTGCCTAGCGACCAGCATGACCCGGCAGTAGCAGCCAATCATGAACAGGAACGCAGGCACAAATACTAATAACACTTGAATCAGCATGACGTACTTGGACAGGAGATAAAAGGTACACTTCGGCTTCTCCTCCAACTGGCTTTCCGCAAGGGCGTGCCACACCAGTGGTGCGAAGGCGACAATGAAAACATACATCCAGATCATGAGGGAGAAACACAGGACACGTCTTGTCGTTATGTGCTGGTAGTACTTAAGTGGTTTCACCAGGGCAGCGTACCGGTCGTAGGCGATGACTCCAAGACCCAGCAAGGACACACCGCACCCCAGCGTCACCAGGCAGTAGGGCAAGAGGCACAGGTAGGCGCTGGTCACGAGGTAACCCAGCAGCTCAATCACAAACACCAGGGGCGCAAATACAGCCACCCAGATATCAGCAGCTGCCATGTTGACCAGAATGTAGTTGGATGGGATCTGCAGTCGCTTGTATTTAACCACCGCCACAATGACCAGGATATTTCCAAAAACTGTCACGACCGTCAGCAGCGAAACACTGACCACTGCTACTATGGTCTGCGGGGTCCATTCAAGGTCGGTGCTGCCTGAGTTGTTCTGGAGAGGTGCAGGTGGGCCGGTACCCTCATGTTTGTCATCTCCCATCTTGTACTCATATGACTTGAGACCCATACATCTGAAAGTTAAACAGACAAATATTCTTTAATTATTCTAGAAACTGGCGAATTGAATGACCAGCAAGTTGGCAAAAAAATCGTCTGCTATCCACTATCAATGTATACCTCACTCCAATGTGCCTCTTATCACATTAGACTGTTTTAGACACTAATTTCCCCGAAGTTTTCCCTTCGACTTCCAACTAGCATTTTGCCTTGTTCTCCAAACTTCTCCAACCTGAGGGAGGCTGGCAATAAAATTGTAAGTGTAGAATTTCATTACAAAAAATGTCTGAAGGAATTATGAGAAATAAGTGATCGCAAATACCCAATATGTTTAAAAGTGGGCTCTGACTGTTTTGCTGGAAGTTTTAGGTGTTAACATCCTATCTAAAATTTTGAAACAAGAAAACCTAAAACAGGCAACTCGACAACTTAGTACCACATTTTGCCTCAGAAAGATGAGCCACTAATGTACCATTCCCAGATGGAAAAGGCATTTACCTTAAAACAATTTTCGAAAAATCAAAGAAACATGGGGTCAGCAAGTGAATCCACTCCCCCGCCCCCTCAATCTGCTACTGCTGCTGTTGATAGTGGTAGTGTAGGATTTAGTAGATTTAGAAAGCTCCCATGGGCAAGTTGCCCAAGGAAATAGAGTTAATGATTTGAGGATGTGATAACTAACCATAGATAGGATTATGACAAGTGGAAGGGTGGAGCTTCCTGTTGGTGGAGGTGGGGGGTGTAAAGAGAGACTCAAAGGGTAGGAAGAAAAGAGAAGGAGTTTTAAAATGGGGGCGGACAATGCAATACTGGACAGCATCCGTGCGGGGAATCTAGCCTATATTTGGGTGGGTAAACTAATGCTAAGTGGAGATTACTGACAAGACAAAGAGTGGGTAGTGTTCTACCCCACTTCGGCTGGAAGGGAAGTAATCAAATCTCCTTATGGCTGTGTCTGAAATGGGCTTCCAGAGCTACGGCTAGGTCTACTGTCTGCGCGTCTCCATGTATTTGCAATGGAGTGAAGACCTAGACCTAGCTCTAGACAATGGATTCGGATGCAGCCGCATACAAATTTAGTGACTCAAGCCTGATTACCCTACTAAACAGAGAGAAAATGGAATTCAGGAGACTTGGAACTTTAGAATCAAGTCTCCATGGTAGGAATGCAAGAGTGCTCTTTGTACATTGTCCACTGTGCCTTTTATGGTGAAGGATGAGGCAGTTACACAGCTGAAAGTTACCGCAATAGAGTGGGGGCATAGAAGGCAGATCTTAAGTGTGAGTTAGGTGTAATAGCATTCAGACTAGGGCATTACACTTTCCATCACTTCTGATTCTGCTGCTAATCAGGTCAATTTTTTGAGGTTGGTTTAGTGCAACAGACCCTGAAATGAGATTGGAATTCACATACGGTAATTGGACATGCAAAATGATAAAGCCACCAAACAACCTGTGATGGAATAGATGGAGCATAATCCAAAGCTACCTCGAGGACAAGTCCACTGCCTAAACTGTGAACCGGTGTTATAAAAACACCTGCACTCTCACAAGTCTGTTGTCATGGTAACACATGCGTACCTCTGCATCTTAGTGAGACCGTGTAACTAGTTCTCTGCAAACCGCAAATTAAGCAGCACAAGCAATGCGAAGAGCAAACACGATCCACTGAGTCATTTTGACTCCACTACAAAATATCCCTCCAAGAGAAGGAGGTTTTTGTCATCTGTAGTGCAAGTGGTTGGACTGTGACGGGCTTCCGTCCGTTAATTGTACAAGTGAGAAAGCATGATATTCCAAAAAGAGCCAGTAATAACTGGCCTAATTGGTACTTGGTGTTTGCTTAATTGCAGTGAACATGCCCAGGGAGCATGATTCCGCTTCATAGTCCACCATATCAAAGCCTCTTCTTAGTGCATATAAATTTATGTTCCGCCATATGACAGGAAAAACACAGACGCCACCATAGATTCAGGGCTGTTAACAATTAACATTTGGAAGTACACATCATCAAAGTTCGTAGACAAATAATTCAGGACAAGGACTTTCATCAATACTATGTGGTTTATTCAACGGAATGTAACACCGTCAGTCCAACTTTCAGTCCATCCTGAAGACTTTCCAAATGTCTCTAGAAATTGAAATTATGTCTAAATTAGATACAGGTCAAGGCAATTTTTATTGTCGGCCTTTGACATGGGCAGGAGCAAAATGAGGAAATTGAATCAAACACTGTTGGTAAAGTCAATTAAATTTCTGGCAACGCCTTAACAAGGCAGACATGTTTCTCCACCAAGGAAACTGCACACCTTCACAGCAGTATATATTTCCAGGAGGCCTTCACAAGGAGGACATTACTGAACACAAGTACATGTAGAGGAAGTGTAAGGATGAAAAAAAATGGAAGTGATGGGCACTACAGGTGTAGTCTTAGTTCAAGATGTTAGAGAGGAATCCCAAAGGGGTATGGCTGTATATATGCATAGGAGACAGCTGGATTGAATTATTCATCACATATAGCAGCACAGTAGAGTTATGCAGTGGCTCATGGGATAGTGTCTTGTATGTAGGAACGGCAAATTTTTGTTAACAAGAAAATCCCACTTATTCTTTAACAACCAAACACGAGTATGAAACTTGTAGCTATATGTAGGAAATGGTGAACTATGTAGCTCCCTTTTTGCGGCAGGAATCTCAAATCATACTATCATGACCACTGCTTTCTATCAAGCAATTTCAAAACATTTCTGATTCAAAATTTGAGGCTCACTTTTTGCCCTTTTGAGAAGCTGGGATGAACTGATCCTCTCAAAATATTTGTAAAGGAAATGCATCACAACTCCAGACGCAAATAGCATTGTTAGTGGGTTGCTGCCTTGATCACAACACGCTCATTCGGTGTGTACATCACATGCACACTGAAGTGCTGACCTATATTACTGGTCAAGTGAATTATGTCCACTTTGAGGATGCTATGAAGCAGAAATTAATGAAGAAATTTATCCATCTCAGCAACCTGTAGGATGGTGAGGGCAATTCTGTTGATTGGTAAATGGTTTCCTGGAAAACTCTGGTCAAAAAATTACAATACAAATAAAAAAGTAAAAAAAAATCAAATTTTAACCCATAAAATAAAATGAACAAACAAAACAAAAACTCAAATTTATGATTTCAGGGCTGGTGTGCCAAACCATTCAACATTATAAATCTTGACCTTGTGCACCATTTTTGTTGGAGAAGCATGAGCTTGATGAGGCTTACCAACTGCTTGACCCCCCTCCACTCAGGAAGCCAAGGGAAACCCTCTGATTACCCACACAATTGGGATATTTTTAGACCTATTCCGGTTTAGTCCGTGCCTGGTAGTATGATAACTACATAATGGACAATTGTGGGAAGGAAGGGACGTTAACGTGGTAAAGGGGAACCGATGATAAATCTCAAGAGAATTTGGTAGGAAAGAGGAACTTAAAGACAGTGGATACTAGAGAAGATAATGCACGATAGGTTGATAAGGAGTGATTCACAAGTTGCTTTTTCTTGCATGGAATTCTTAAGTAAGGGAATGAATATGTGCCTGGCTGGTCTTAAAGGTGCGTTTAAGACCAGCTCAGGAGAATCCTAACGCAGCAAATGCCCGAGCCACAAGTGAGGGCATTATCAGTCTCCTGAGCTGGTCTTAAAGGTTAGTATAAGACCGGCCAAGCACATATTTATTCCCATTCATAAATACCTTTTTGGTCGGAGAGTCAAAAGTAGTCAATATATGACGGATTTCCAATGACTTTGTTGTAAAATTTTACTTTCATTTTCCCGAACACCCCTGTCCATTTTATTTGTAGTTCTTCAAAAGAATCTCCTTATATGGACTTGGCATGCGTGTGGTGATTGACCAATCAGAATTGTTTAAACTGTCTCATATCCAGGTACCAGTGCGTGATTTATGCAGCGGGCATTATCACTCCGCAGTGGGTAATATTAAATGTTAATATGTGGTCAAGTTGCCCGCTGATGAATAAGGTGACTGCCTGAGGTATTTATTAAGTAGTCTTTAAAAAAAAAATATACCAGGAATGTTTCTGGCTATTTAATGAAAATCACATGGCAGAGCTGCAATGGGTCAGTTCAGTATTTCCAAACAGCAATGCCATTCAGGAACAAAGCACGCGCACAGATACGTCCACGTGAGGCCACGCTGATAGGGTTGAGCTTGCTTGAGGGTCTGAATGACTTTATTTTGGGCAGGTGAATTAAAAATACCGAACTGACTCATCAAAAGAACACTGACCAAGTCCATTCGGAAATAACAGGAGTAGTAATATTCTTGTCACAATTTCTCATATAATAAAATTCAGGTTTTGTTTCTTTTCAAACCACTGATGCTGGGCTTACAAACAGCTATCCCAGTTTATCCCAATTTTGGTCTTACAAAGATTACAGAATCCATGCATTTTCTGTGGACTGTAATCTGTTCCACAACATTAAAATCCCACGTCTAGCGGAAAAAATGAATCTGAAATCACCAGCACAGCTTGCCAGAATGATTGTCGCACAATAAATCTTCTAGCAAACCTTGGGGAGGAAAGGGGAGGCACCATTGTAAAATGTTTGATTTATCCAAATTTGTAAAATACTGTTTACGAAGGCCAAACATACATGTTGTGAGTGATAAGTCATTGTGATTTGTCTGTGTAGGTGTCTGCAGTGAAACCATGCTTTTTCCCGTTGACATGGACACTTTCACCTCATCAATGACCTCTTGTAGAAGTTGGCTCCTGTGTCCAATCCCACGTCTCTCCTTTCCAATTATCGACTGTATTAACAGTTTATTTAGAGTTGAGCATTTTTTTACCACTGTCAGAATTTGCCCCCCTCTTTGGCCTTATATCTTTCCAATCCACATTTTCTGCCTACTTATATGGTAAAGAAGCTACAGGAAATCAAATTCTGACACACAACTACCTCTAACAAAACCTCTTATGTAAACTATAATTTAAAAGATCATCACCAATTTGCATTTAAAAATTCATTCATAAAAACCAATATATTTTGCTACTGTTCCCTTAATGCACCTCGTTCACTGAATATCTCTTCATATTCATTTAAGTCAAAGTTCAAAAGTGACACAGTGTGGCCAAAGCTGGCAGTTTTGAGGACCCAACTTTCTATGATTCCACAGTATTCATTTAATACTGACGCATTTAAATGTGCATAATTTTAATAGACTCCCTAAAACTATTGCAAAACTCCAAAGAAAAGAAAAAAGAAACAATACTTTGGGGGAGGGGAATACTGTTTCTTTGTTTTTGGTTTTTTTAGGCGATCAAGGGGGAAATAAAAACTGTGATGCTTCTCGCATCAAATTTCCAATTCTCCCAAAAAAAAATCACTAGAAAATCATTAAAATACAAGAAATAGGATGGTACCAAATATAAATGTCCTCCAGTTATTAATTAAAAGTATCCACCACGTACATGTAAAAATTGAAAAGAAGCCTCATGTGAAAAATAGTGATAATTCTGACAAACACTGGTTGCCAAGGTGTCATTGCTAGCAGCTCATGCTAATGGCACATGTATGGAATCAATCACATAATGTGCACAATGAGTTATGAGTGATTTATAGTCGCACCTTGCAGCCTCCAGCCCACCTGCACATACAGTAGGTTTGGCCGCTTATCTCTGTAAATGCAGGACTCCTAACTCAGCCATTTCAGAGTATTCTCATGCAAAACATAAATGAAAAACTGAAATGATATTTCAAAAAATAATTCCCAGCCCCTACAGAAGAGATACATTGCTCTGCAAGCTCATTTCTCGTAAAAAAAATCATTTCATATGTGTTTTATGCAAGTAAGACATTATTTCGTGTCTGAAACAGGTTTCCAGTACAGGGATATGTATGCTCACGTTCAACGCTTTGTTTATGTTGGCAGCTATGTAAAGTGGAAAGAGGAGAATATAATCCTAATAAATAATGTAGGGCTTTGTGCTGGTCTCTTTCACACAGAGGTACAGTACCGCCAGCTGGATTTTCAAAGATTGTCGAACTGAGGGTGGGAAATATAAGAATCTGCCCCTCCTAATTCCTCCAAAAATCAAGTCCAAGATATAATTTAAATACAGCAGTTAACAATGTGATGATACCCATTGCTTCTAAATGTGTTTAAATTCCAACATGGCTCATCACACTCATATCTAACAGACCTACTGTTTCTGCATCAATCACATAGCCGGAGAAAAGGGATTCTAAGGTCTTCATCTGATGCAAACATCCCTTTGCACGTGACAATCAATACAAAAAAACTACTGGTGACAAAACCTTTTCCATGGTAGGTCTCAAAAAACTCCACATCAAATCAGACTGTCAAAAGAATTGTTCAAAATTCACCTATTTAGCCAGTCTCCTCAGTAATCTGTACATTTTTAGGTGTTTACTGATCTCTCTGTTAACTGTTTTCTTTGTAAAGCGCTTTGATCTTATTCAAAGTGTTACATAACTACCTGTTTTATCATTGCTGTCTTTCAAGGAAGGAAAATGCATCTTCATCTTTTAAGAAATTGTATTCTTTTACACAAAATCTAAGTTTTCCACCTGCCAGACAAATTGACCCTCATAATATGGGCCTAGCATGACAAAAGCAACGTCTGGACTTTCTGCCACTCAAATTCCAAATGAGCTGGATGCAAAAGGTGAATTAATCATGCAAGCACTGTGAAAGAACTAAACAAAAGATGACTTTAAAACAAATTGGCTAGCAGAAATATCAAGTGTCCTCCGTACGCTAAAAAAGAGGTTGGAATGCACGGGAGACAATTTGTGACCAAACTAAATCTGAGCATGAAATAGAAAACCCTGGACCGAAAACAGCAGGTTTAGGGAAGCTTATTTGAAATGAACTAATGAGATGATTGTCTGCTATCCAGTAGCCAGGTCCCACAGCGCGTGTTTACACAGCTGCATTTGATTTGGAATTGGCTGGGTACTTTTGTTACAAATGAGGTCTGAAATTCCCTACTGATTGCACAACTTTCTTTCTCCTCTCGAAAATGAAAAGGAGCAAATATGAAAAAAATCCATCATTTTCAAAATGCAACAGGTGAGATTGCTAACATCAAGATGACAATCTGGTAAATGCCTACATGAAGGTATTGAATCATTCCCCCCCCCAAAAAAAAAAACCAGAGGTGGATTGTGACTTGAAAGTAAGATCTCGAGTACAATTCCTCTTGGAAACACCTTTCCAATTCATAAGTAACTTGAATTAAGAAAAACGTAACTATACTAAACTATACTGACATGGGGCTACACTGATGTGTAGAGAATGCTTTCAGTATCAGTTCTTTTGATCAATTCCATTTGTTTTTCTGCTGATGTATAGAAATGGGGTATAAAACTGAAAATGACAGGAACTACACTTGACAATTTTAAAGGGCTTTGCAATTACAGTCTCCAGAAAATCTGTTGATTAGAATAAAAAGTCTCTCTAGATTTAGAGGTGAGCATGCAGATTTTGCCACATTTTGGAAATAGACAGGTCAACACTTACAGTTTGGTGACTTTTCTGTGACCTTTCCACTCTTCAGCTCTATCAGAATCCTGATAACCAAGCAACTGAAAGCAGTAAACCTACAGTTTTGACAAACGCTACTTCTTCCCAATGATATAAGTCCTTGCCTCAGTGACTTTGCAGAGATAACACAGAGTTGTGGTTGATATTCGGAGCTTAGAGTTGAGACCACATTTCTGCAAAACTTGCAGACCTCTGAAATGCCAATGTGATTAAATGCCTCTCAAGCACAACAAATAGAAGATCTCTTTGACACAGCAGGGTAGAAGAAATGCCTTTAGTGGTAACCCCTTCTGTGTGCTGATCTCCAGCTGAACATGATGAAGTGTAGGACCAGCTTGGCAATCTCGAAGTGCAGCCTCCTGAAGCTGTCAGTTGGTAACGATACTTGGGTGACAAATCATCCAGGCGTGTCTCTGGTGTGCAAGGTGTTCATCCTTAGCTCAGAGTCATCCCAAACACACAGTTTCAGTCCAGGGTATTGCTTGGCCCCCTGATTAAACAAAAGAAAGGTCCATGCAGTCTTTATGGCCAGTGATGACCGATCATAACTTTACTTGACCGGCAATGATGTACCCTTCAGCATGGTATGTCTAGCCAAGCAAGCCTGTCTGCTGTTTCTCGCTAATTACTTTACCTAAATCCTGATCCAGCCTTGTTCAGGAACGATTTCATCATTCTCTCATCTAGTGGTGAGTGGGAGGCTGCCTCTGGCTGGCTGACCAGCTCTGTCCTGTCGCAAACACCCTTGAATAAATTAAGCCAAGGTGTGCTTCCCCTTTCTGTCCAGGCGATGTTCACTGTCAATATGTTCCGATGTGCCGTTCCTTGCCTCCTGTGTTAATATTGGAGGCTGTTGGTGCATCCCACTGACTCACACAACAATGCAGCTCTCTCCCCCAACACTGCAGAAGTGCCCTCATATTTGTGGCCACACAGAAACTAAGACTAGTTCGTGGAGCATTTTTGTCTTTCTCTTTCATTAACTTGGTACACATCAGGCCTGCAGAGACCTCTATGACTGTGAAAGACCATTTATCCACTTCGTGATCATGATCAAATCTCTCCTTTCAAAAGAATGACATGACAATACTGAAATATTCTTAATATCTTGTAATATCTCGCAATTGCAGTGAACGGTACTTTGACAGCATTTAAGGACATAGCCTGTCAAGCTACATAAATTGTGGGTATGTTAAGACCTCTACTTGCAGAAATAGTCTTTCCTCTCATTAAAGATCATGAAGGAATATCAGAATTCTAGTTCTTTCATGTTCTTCCTTGGTATGATAATCATGAAACCAAACTTACCGTCAGTTTAAAAAGTGAACTGAAAGTTTGGAATTTGGGAGTGTCTTGAGTGTCACCTGAACTGGAAGAGAAACTGTGATGGAAGGAATGGGAACCAAGCTCAAGTAACAGATAAAATGAAGGCAAGCCCCCCCCCCAAAAAAAACCCCTACACTCCAATAACTCAAGAGTTTTTGGTGGCAAGGAGTATCTCTATACTTTGTTACCGCCAAGGACGTAAACAAACACACAAAGAAGCACAGGAAACATACCCGGAAACCTTTCTTTCTTTTGTTATTAACCTTAAATCATGGTAACATAAGATTTGACTTGACTGGCTTCAAAAAACAGTCACTACTTGTTATGGCATGGTGACAGTACATTACATTTAGCCAATGAGAGTGCAGCACAGATCACGGATCCACCCACCACTGCTTTGCAGGTTTTGCAGAATGGAAATAATTATCAGGGAGGCTGAATGTTAATTTTAATCTGGAAAAAGTGTGTGGTTTGCCATAACATAAGCTGATTTTTTTTTTATAAGACGGACAAGCGAATAAATTTTGGTCAACATCAAAGAGAAGCATTGCTGACCAGTTTTCTTATTTACCTCAAAATATACGAGTAAATATGGAACAATTCGGTTTGTGGACATTCTAATCGGCCACACATTTAAAAGCTTGGTACTGATAATGTACTGAACTGTGTGGGGGGGGGATTGGGCCAGGATATCTTTTGATACTTTCGTCATTAATTAATTATTGTGTGCACACAGCATTCCAGTCCTTTTCCCAACAGTTTCTACCATGGATTTCACTCTTTCTTTGTTTTTCCTGTCCCCCTACCCTTTTTTGAGAGTGGAGAGAAGGGAAGAGGACAGAAAGTGGGGGATCACCCCTACCCTTTCTGCAAGTGCCATTTGAAGCCAGGTATGGGACGCCTTTGTGTTGGTAATTGTTTGATCCGAATCTAAGGAATTCTTTACAGACTTCTGGGGGATATGTTAGGTAACAATAGTCTAGAGTGTGTATAGGGATTGGACAGGTAAGGGGGGTACCCCTCCATCCCATATCTTGCCTGGTATAGCAAGTGCTGGCACATCGGCATTTCCATCAATGGGAAAGATTTCTACTGTGCCCCATACTCTTCCTTGAAAAAAAAAACCAGGAATGTATTGCATGCATCTGTCTGCATTACTAGCAGAGGAATGTTGCAGGAACATTTTGCAGTGTGAAAACAAGAGAACATTCCTTGGGGAGCTTTAATCTCTAAAGCACCTATAGAAGCTATGCCTGTACCTGTACCATGTAACAGATGCAATCAATGGTTCCATAGAAATCAGCACCATTGGGCAGAGAATTAAGGTTAGTGGGAGAGGTACATTCTGATTACTGGAGACAAACTTCAGAAAATTTTTGATAAAGGCCACAGATAAGGTGATGGCTTGCCAGTCTCAAGACCTTCAATGCAACTCCCAAAGGATCCAGTGAGAAAATGCATATTGAACTCAGTTAAGCCTACCAGTTCAGATTAGTTTGCAAGCCTCAAATTCTAAGAAATGCAATAAATGTTGCATTTCACGTACACGTACGAGGCCTGCAGTTTTAACTGAATTTAATTTGATGAAGAGTTAAAAATTAAGCTTAGGCATCAAATCTGCCATTTCTGAAGAAATCTGAGTTTGTCACCAACACAGGTCAAACATGATATTTACAAAAAAAAGTACAAAATGCCTAACATACGTCAAACATACTTATGGAGCCTAGTAACTGCAACTAATGGTTAATAAAATTGAGAATATAAAAATAAATACTTTCATGTTGAATTCCACAGAGGCCAGAAATAATGATAGCAATGAAGCCATTCATGACAGCTAAGGGGTGGAGTTTGTAGTTAAGAATAGGATGGTGTAGGGAAAAACAGCAATTTCCAGCCCAACAAAATTCAAGAGAAGACAAAAATGGCAAAGTCCAGAGAGACAAATAATACAGTTCTGACAAATAAGGTAATTCAATGAAATGACATCCCAATGCCATATGTCACTTCTGTAGAAAATATGGCCACCAGCCCATACAAGACAGAATCTATGATAACATCTCTTACTACATAAGTCAGACATATCTTGTTACCAACCCAGTAATTAGTGGTGAATGTTGATTGAAAAAGCAACAATACAGACCACAACACATGTAAATACCAGTACCAGAACAAAGCTTACAGCTCAAGCAGATAATACGCCACAGAGTGTCATTAATTAAATAAATTCTGGAGATATATATTCAAGGCTGACTGAATGCCAATGTGGAGGAGATTTGCCTATTCATCTGCCACTGATGGGCAAGAAACCAAAGAGACAAATTTATTTCCGCAATTCATATCTGCAATCCATTAGGGTGATGAAAGATGTTATCCGAAAAACATGAAACAAATATGATTTGTACACATATACAGGAAACAGCAAGCGAAGTTTTCACTTTGAAGCCTAAGGTATCTCAACATCATTCCAACGCACAGTGCAAACTGTGTTCCTCACTACAGTACGGTACATTAAAATATCAAATTTCAGTACTATTGGTACCAATGGGCCAAAACATCTGGGCATTAATTCAGTATGCAGTAAAATATTCACTGAAAAAATTCATCTGAAAAGGCCAAAGGGAAATGGAGAATGGAATACAGGAGCTGAGAAACCAATACAGGAACTGAACTATCGAGTTTTATACAATTTATACATTTATTATTTCCATGAGGTTATTTGAGTGGACAGTGGAAATTCTTCCTGGGTATTGTTAAATAGATCATGCAATCATTTAATTAGCCAATCTCTTAATAAAAAGGAGAGTTTAGAACTTTCAAGTGAACAAACACGCTTTGTCCATGGCCATTTGCTATTGCAATTAAAATTTGTAAAAACAGTTTTTCTTCATCGCCACACAGTGCTTTCTTTGAACAAATCATTAAATCAATAGACCATTGACCTTTTACAGGGTAAGTCATCTTAATGTTTCTATTCATTAACAATACACCAAAGTTCCTTTGAAACTGAGGCACACGCCTCAAAGGTGGTTGTCACTGCTATTAGATACCGACTTACTCAATGAGAAAGTTTCTTGACAATGATTTTGTCATTCTGTTCTACCCATCTGTGTCATCTGAATTTTAATTCACACTCAATGGAAATTCAAGCCAAAGTTTACAAAATTAACGCATGAATGACAACAGATCAGAGAATGAAACTTAGCATATTTGTGACATTCAGAGTGTGTGATTTACATCTTCTTTAAAATGGCAAAGTAAACTCTAAAAAAATATATATAATCCCCCCACGTAGTCAAGACTGAAGAAAGGTTCTTCTTTGTCCAGTTTATCAAGAACGGGAACACGACCTCCTCATTTTAATCACATGAACCAGATTTTGCGGGAACCCTGGAGGATTTGGAGAGGCAGCTTGACAAACACTGGATCGTGTGAAAGATCCATGACCAGAATATCCCTGCCCAACATACGACGATATATGAGAGGGGCAGAGTTCCATCCTTGTTGACGACTCTGCTGAAAACACCTGGTTTTTATAAACCCGCTCAATGGCTCACCCACAAAACCATCTTGATGAGCAGTGACATAAACAAAACATGCAGATGGCACAGCAGCTAGACATGTCTGTTTCTACAACTACGTACCTTCTCAAATGGAGTAAAAAACTAAATGGTCTAATAATCAGCTAAACTAACTGGATTATGTCACAGAAAAAATGTTAACTTTTGAAAAAAAATCAAGAACTATTTAATGTAACATTACAGTTGTACACATACGCACAAGTGCATAGCTAAAATGCCCAAAGCCTCGAGATGGAGAAATAACAGTGGAGATTGGAAATGTAAAGTTTAAGAGTTTTCTGACATCGTGTTGTCACAGCCATAGACATTGCAAGGAAGGAGGCAGAGCTCCTTCCATCGGGTGTGTAAAGCACATAGCCTGACCAACCATGAAAGTGGAAGGGGATAATGTCCGAGGCATTTTCATGGAAATTGGTGATTTCCACCCCATTCCTTTTCTCTGACTGTTCTTTCCCATTTTTGATCCTTTGTTTTCCCTTCAAAACTACTAAAATTATCAGCAAAACTGTGACAAAATCCATCCACTTTCTTGGAAATATCTGCAATCTTACAAAAAAAGGCTGCCTCCTTCCTTTTTTTAAAACAA